AGAGCTGCTGTTTGGAGGTTTATCTCCAGCTCCACAGGTTCTCAATAGGGCTGAGGTCAGAAGATGATGGTGGCCACACCATGAGTCTTTCTCTTTTTATACTCATATCAGCCAAAGATTCAATGGTATTTCTGCAGCATTGTCTTGCATGAAAATGATTTTACTGCAGAAGACACAGTTCATTTCATACCATGGCAGGAAATGGTCAGTTAGAAACCCCACATATTTTGCAGAGGCCAGTTTGACACCTTCCGGCACCCTAAAGAGGCCTACCATCTCACTTCCTGTTATTCCGGCCCAAAACGTTACTCCGCCACCTTGCTCACGTCGCAGCCTTGTTGGGACATGGTGGCCGTCCACCAACCATTCAGAACTCCATCCTTCTGCACCATCCAGTGTACCATGGCATTCATCAGTGAATAAAAGTGTTTGAAAATTACTCATATACTTCTGAGCCTACTGCAAACGTTTCTCCTTGTAAGCATTGGTTAGGGGTTGCTGAAATACTGCTGCTGTCTTTATATGATGCAATTGCCTGACAGAAACTTTCCTTGATATGACTTTATCTGAACTAGCCCATTTCCTCTCTGAAACACACTGAATGTTTTTTTTTTTAACAGTACGGTGATCTTGCTTAAGTTTTCATGACATGTCAAATGCTTTCAATCCGTTGGCATGGCATTGTACCATTCTTTCTTATCCCCCATACTGTATGAAAACTGACCTGCTTAATAATGTGGGACAACCTGCTTAAGTACTAGCTCTTTAATCATGCTCACCTGGGAAACTAATTATCATTCCTGTCTGAGATTGACATCAGTGATCTAAACAGACAGGAGAAACAACATGAGCAAAAACTTCCACAGAAAAACTAAAACTCCTGTCTGATTAACTGAAATCCTACATGCATAATAATTTGGAACACAGTGTAAATCCAGTGAAATACCGTATATATGTATGTATGTGCTCTTACATTGCATCTGTAGTCTGATCCTGTTCATAACTGCTCCTGTAACACCAAAAAAAAGTTACTTATCTTATGAATATGCAGGTGTACAGGTGTCCCAAATGAAGTGCTCAGTGAGTGTATTTCATATTTCAAAAATTGACTTGTTACTTACCAAAAGTAACAAGAAATGTAGTTCACAAGAACAACTTTGACCGTGAAGAAAAAAAACAGACTTACAGACTCTTTGCGAGTTTACTTGTGGTGGGTTGTATGGTCTGGTGCACCACCTGTATTCACTCTGTTTTTGTCTGAGGCTGATGTTGAGCACATGGAACATCATCACCACAGTTGCCAGAAAAGTTTCAAAACATCCAAAACCTAGTTGTACATGTTCTATGACATCTAAACATTATAACTGATGATGCAAAATTTCTGCCACTTACCTATTCACAGCATGACAGGTGAATCATTGCAGCATGTACAGCAACAACCTCAAAACACATGGGTTCCCCAGGGATGGATAGATAGATAGAGATAGATAGATATACACTCACCTAAAGGATTATTAGGAACACCATACTAATACGGTGTTTGACCCCCTTTCGCCTTCAGAACTGCCTTAATTCTACGTGGCATTGATTCAACAAGGTGCTGAAAGCATTCTTTAGAAATGTTGACCCATATTGATAGGATAGCATCTTGCAGTTGATGGAGATTTGTGGGATGCACATCCAGGGCACGAAGCTCCCGTTCCACCACATCCCAAAGATTCTCTATTGGGTTGAGATCTGGTGACCCTGGGGGCCATTGTAGTACAGTGAACTCATTGTCATGTTCAAGAAACCAATTTGAAATGATTTGAGCTTTGTGACATGATGCATTATCCTGCTGGAAGTAGCCATCAGAGGATGGGTACATGGTGGTCATAAAGGGATGGACATGGTCAGAAACAATGCTCAGGTAGGCCGTGGCATTTAAACGATGCCCAATTGGCACTAAGGGGCCTAAAGTGTGCCAAGAAAACATCCCCCACACCATTACACCACCACCACCAGCCTGCACAGTGGTAACAAGGCATGATGGATCCATGTTCTCATTCTGTTTACGCCAAATTCTGACTCTACCATTTGAATGTCTCAACAGAAATAGAGACTCATCAGACCAGGCAACATTTTTCCAGTCTTCAACTGTCCAATTTTGGTGAGCTCGTGCAAATTGTAGCCTCTTTTTCCTATTTGTAGTGGAGATGAGTGGTACCCGGTGGGGTCTTCTGCTGTTGTAGCCTATCCGCCTCAAGGTTGTGCGTGTTGTGGCTTCACAAATGCTTTGCTGCATACCTCGGTTGTAACGAGTGGTTATTTCAGTCAAAGTTGCTCTTCTATCAGCTTGAATCAGTCGGCCCATTCTCCTCTGACCTCTAGCATCAACAAGGCATTTTCACCCACAGGACTGCCGCATACTGGATGTTTTTCCCTTTGCACACCATTCTTTGTAAACCCTAGAAATGGTTGTGCGTGAAAATCCCAGTAACTGAGCAGATTGTGAAATACTCAGACCGGCCCGTCTGGCACCAACAACCATGCCACGCTCAAAATTGCTTAAATCACCTTTCTTTCCCATTCTGACATTCAGTTTGGAGTTCAGGAGATTGTCTTGACCAGGACCACACCCCTAAATGCATTGAAGCAACTGCCATGTGATTGGTTGATTAGATAATTGCATTAAAGAGAAATTGAACAGGTGTTCCTAATAATCCTTTAGGTGAGTGTTTATATGTATCTATCTCTCTCTATGGCCAGCAAGATGGAGATAAAGATTTTGAAAATGGACTTAGAGAAGATAAAACGACACCTCAAATTAAGATGCCATTTCTAAGTACTGTGTGCAGAACATCATACAAAGGTATGTCCATAGTTTCCTGTTTTATGTTTTTAATTTTTAACTTCACTGTCATCATCGATTTACATTTTGTGCAATCATCCAAAGAGAAAATGCTAGATATAAAAAAAGAAAGATGCAGAACAAAGCAACGAATTTCCAGTTGCAATCCAGTGGAGTGTCCATTCACCTAGAGAAGAGCGTTTTATTAAGTCATTGTGAAAAGTTATACAGACCCATTCAAACAAAGTTTAATGTTATTGATGGACAAAAATGAAGATATACAATGCTAGAAATGTCAACAAAGTGCTAAAAACTTAAATTCACGCAAGCAGTGATCCAAAACTACAAGCTGAACCATAGCAACCGTCCCATTAACAAAAACATCCAGAGTCAGATTGGGCGAACCTTCATACTAAATGACACAAAAAAAAAACATAGCTTAACCTTCTGACTGGAGATGTAAAATTTACCAGTTTTGTAGCAGAATGTAAATATATTTAAGAAATTAAATGATACCTTAAAGTCTTACAGTGACAAACAAAATGTAAAGACCCACAAACAAAAAAACGTGTAGCCCATTAATCAGAAAACCTAAATCGATAAATTAAACATGGTTATAAAGGGATAGGTGGTGCAAAGACAGCATGGACAGCTCTGGATACAAAGGTGTAGCAATTGACTACTACACTGTGACCTTCAGGGTTGAGCCGGGTGTTTGATTGGTTTCTCCTGGGTATTTGAGCATCACGTGGTGCATTCCCATCATGCTTGTATGAAGACATGCACCTTCATCACCACCCCAGAGCCTGTTTATGCTCAGAGCTTAACTTTAGATCAGATTGTACCTGTATGTCGTCTCCAAGCTCGTCTTTCTTTCATCTATTGGGTTGCATTCACTCTCCCTGCTCCTACAATCTTATGTTTCGTACCGAACATAACAGCAATACCATGTATTTGGCCTAAAATTAAAAAAATAAAACCACAGAAACGGACAGCAGGATCAGCCCTGGTGTTACACACCCCCCCCCCATCACTTCTCCTAAGCGGACAGGTGACCCTGGTGACTCTGGGGTGCTAATAAAAATCAGGATCAGGACCTTTGAGTCCTGATGTCAAAGGCCTCTGGTGAGGGGAGTTCCAGTTCGCTGCTTAAATGGGTGAAATTCATAGCAGTGCGAGCAAAATGGACAGTCGCTTTCAGCTGTGACCTGTACAACTAAAACAAGCAGATTTCAGTAACCCTATAGAAAAGGCACAGCACAGACTGGTCAAAGAGCTCTGTATCTGTAACAACATACGAGAGACCAACACCCCCTCTCTCTATACACAACAGGAGGAGCTGTAGTGTGAGTTCAAACCCCCCCCCAATCCCTTCTCCTGGAACATGCCACACCACCATCTAATTCAATTTCATGATTCAGGTGGCACACAATCTGTATTCCATGTGTGTGAAAGTTAGACAGAGGCCACTGGAAGAGTTTAACTTCAACTCTGCATGAAAGCGAGATTTATACAATAAAATCTCATCATTTCACTGGTCACAAAACAGCAGCTGAATCTATGGCTAAGTAGCCATTTTAAAAAAAAAAACAAAAAAAAACAAGGTCTGTGAGCAGGATTCCTGACTGGGGGGTAGGGGGAGGGCTATATATATAGAGAGAGACTCTGGGTCACTCACCGACAGTGTACAAGGAAGGGACACAGGGTCCTATCACCTACCATGAAAAGTATGAAAAACACGTGAACCTTGGTAGTTCTCTGCGTGAATAAACTACACGCGTGTCCCTGGCATGTGGAGCAGGTCCAGCTCCCTGCACGCCTTCCTATAATGTTTCTGTACCGTACAAATACTCTGGCTGCCACCAATGAGCTAACCCCTTAGTCCCATGGATGGCGCGGTCCTGCATCTTGATGCTGTCGAAGCCTCGCCCACATTAAAGGGCCAATGCGGCAAACAGATCTTATACTTAAATATCCAGACACTGAAATTAGAAGTAAAAGTTATACAAATACATGTATAAAAGCACTGCAGTGGCTGGTGCATTTCGCTCTGTCCTGGAATTAGGGTCTGCTGTTAGCTAGAGTTGACCGTGTTACATGAGGAAATTATTTAACACTGAAATTCACTGCTTTGGAGAATTGCACACCCCATCCCACCCCACCCCCCAACTCCCCCCCTTCCAAGGTTAAAGAAGGGAATGTGACCGACTCAGGGACATTAATCTGAAGCTGGTGCCAAATTGCAGAAACAGGACATGGAAATACACCCTTTTAGACACCCTCTGGCCTAAATGCACAGATTAGGATTTGGAAAGATCAAAGAAAACACCATAGGCGGCCTTAGCATGGCGGGTCCATCCTCCTACACCTTCTCCACCATCGGCTGGCTCGGGGCCACCTTCTTGCTCCTCTTCGTGCGGCTCCGGGCATAAACCCGTAGGAAGAGCGCGAGGAACACTATAGCGACGCCTAGGCCGCCCACGACAGTGACCGGGTGGCCGTAGAGGAAGCAGGAGAGCAGGATAGCGATGGCCTGCCGCAACGTCATGATGATGGTGAAGACGGCCGCGCCGAACTGGCCTATGGTGTAGAAGATGAAGAGCTGCCCGCAGGCAGAGCAGACGGACAGAAGCACGGCGTGGACGGCGAACTCAGAGTGCCGGGTCATGAAGGCCAAGGACTCGAAGAAGGCGCCTTGCTCCAGCAGCGAGCCCACCGTCAGAAGGCAGGAGAAGAGGTTCACCCCAAACATCATCTGCACCGAGGACATCTTGTACTTGAAGAGGTTGTCCTGCCAGTTGGAAGTGAAGCTGTCGAACATGATGTAGCCGCCCAGAATGACGACCCCGGAGAAGGTGGTCACAGTGGAAGGGTGCTTGTTGGTAGTGCTAGACAGGAGGAACATGCTGACCCCGATGGAGATCAGCATGGCCGTGAAGTACTCCCAGTACTCGTAGCTCTTCCGGGAAACAATCTTCCCCATGAGCATGACAGGAATGACTTTGGAGGCCTTGGCCAGGACCTGTGTGGGGAAGCTGATGAACTTGAGGGCCTCGTACTGGCACCAGCTGCTCAGGATGTTGGACAGGGAGGCGAAGGAGTACTTGTACATGGGGGCTCCGTGGCGCGGCTGCTTGAAGAGGGCGCACCAGAGCCCCGCCACCGTCAAGGCCAGGATGCGGTTCATGAAGACCAGGAACTGGGAGTCCGTAAACCTCTCGCCCTCCTCCTCGCCGGTGGCCCCGTATGAGCGTGTCATGACACGTTCTTGTAGGACGCCCCATGTTAAGTAGGAAGCCTGCAGGATCCAGAAGTAGAACAATAATGTTTATTCAAACGATTAGCATCAATCATAAAATGGAAAAGTCAACACTGAAAACTGAAACACAATGCCATTAAATAAATAAATATATAAATATATAAATATAAAAGTAGTAGGTGGAGTAGTGGTCAAAGACATAGATCTAAAATTTCTGTCCGACGAAAACAGAGAACAGGAACAACTCTTCCGAACCAGAAGTGGTTTACACAACATCTTTCAGATAAAATACAGAGCTGTGAAAAACTGATTAAGTTCTGATAAATGGTCTGCTAAGCAACAAGATAATGTGAAACACAATCCCTACTCTAGTTCCTGGAAATGCAGGTTTAACACATTCATAATTTCTCCATATCTCTGGCTCGAGCCACAATGACAGCAGGCTGCTGAGGAATGCTTATTACATTTAGCAGCCCGCCAAGTTCTGCGAGTGGCTCTGAGTCAGACCTTGCAGCAACTGCATTCACACAGGCAGCGCATAGACGGCCTACGGCGGAGCCCAGACAGGCAGCACGTAGACGGCTCAAGGTGGAGCATGCAGTAGGCAAGGTAGACCGCTCTTGTGCATACCGGCTGATATTTTAAAAATCAGTACGACTTCCGGGTTTCTTTGGCATGGTGCAAATTCCATATTATTTGCGTACTGCATACGATATACTAGGTTTTGGTCCAAATAAGTATATACTAGTAGTATGCGGCTAGTATAATATGCGGCTTCAAAGTCAGTCAAGCAGTGTGCAGATGGCCATTGTCAGAACCCAGACAGGCAGTGTGTAGATGGCCCATGATGGACCCAAGACAGATGGTGAGATGCAGCTGGTTCAAAACGCAGCTTCGTCAATGTCCAGGAGATGATAATCATGACTGGCATGAGCCCTCAGGCGACTCAAAGCCGTGCACCAAAAGCATTCAAGCGGTGATTTACAGGACATAAGACAAAGGAGTGGAAACATCTTAAACAGCAGAACACACGACTCCCACACAAACACCACCACACCATTGGTTCCCAAACTCTGCCAAGGTTACCTATTGCTGATAATATGATTTTCAAGCCCCTCCCCCACCCCCAAAGACACACACGTTTGCAATTTCATGTTTGTGGGTACTCTACATTCATTTCTATGGGAAAAACTACCAACATGGCGACCTTAACCTATACCCAGCCCTAACCCTAAGCATAAGTAACCAAACAAAATATGAGACTAAGCACTTTTAGTTTTTTGATTGCATTCACAGATTTTTGCGGTGACCTGTGGACCCTCACACAATCACACACGCACAGATATATTGGTCTCACTCTATCCTGTCTACAGATTCCTGAAGGAAACATCTGCAAGACCTCAGCATGTCTGTGGGTCCTTGAGCAAGGACCTTAACCCCCAGCTCCCTGGGCGCCCCAACACATAGCAGCCCTTCAAGGACAGCTTACTCTACAAAGAGCAAGTTGAGGAAGGCATAAAGACAATTTCCCCACGGGGACTAATAAAAGTATCAATTATTAGGTATACCTGTTCAGCTAGTTGTTGAAGCAAATATCTAATCAGTAGGGGTGTAGCAGTACACAAAAATCAGAGTTCAGCATGTACCTTGGTTTTGAAGTCACGATTCGGTAAATTTTTGGTAAAGCGGGGGTAAAACAAACATAACAAATTACTTTTTTTCTTTATTAAACAGTGGTTTACTGAAGTATGACAGTCTTAAATGAAAACTTTCAGTTTAGCTTGAGACATTTAAAAGTAAATGAAAATAAATATTATCTCAAGTAGGCAAAAATAAATATCCATTAAGTTGCACGTTTAGAAAATTAGAAATTTTTGGGTACGAATACATGTACGGTTACACTCCTACTAATCAGCCAGCCAATCATATGAACAATGTATAAAATCATAGAGATTATATTTGGTCGGGAGCTCCAGTTAATGTTCACATCAAACACCATAATGAGGAAAAGAGTGAATTAAGTGACTGTGAAGGTGGCGTGTTTGTAGGTGCCAAATGTGCTGGTATGAGTATTTCAGGAACTGCTGGTCAACTGGGATTTTCATACGAAACTATTTCTAGCGTTTATTTACAGAGAATAGGCCAAAAAGGGAAAAAACATCCAGGGGCCAGCAGCTCTGTGGGTGAAAATGCCTTGTTGATGGCAGGGATCAGAGAAGAATGACCAGGCCGGTTCCAGTTGACAGAAAGTCAACAGTAACTCAAATATCCATTCGTTACAACCAAGATATGCAGAAGAGTATCTCTATAGACACATGTCGAACCTTGAAGCAAATGGGCTACAGCAGCAGAAAACCACAGCGGGTATCACTCCTGTCAGGTAAGAACAGGAAACTGAGGCTACAGTGCTAAACCTGATGTGATTTAACATACACTCCTTTATCAAAAACATTTGAACATTACAGTAAACAGTGGCATATAGCCTTCAAGTAAATAAAGAAAAGACTATTAACATTACAAAAAAGAACAGTGGCATGTAGGCAAGTATTTAAAACAAACAATACTGGTGTTTAATATGGAAAACATGGCAGAAGAAAAGGGGGGAAACGCTGCAACAGAGCACCTATGGGGTGTGATGGAACGGGAGGTTCGCATCATGAAGGTGCAGCCGACAAACTGGCAGTAACTGCGTGACGCTGTCCAGTCAACATGGACCAAAACCTCTGAGGCATGTTTCAAGCACCTTGTTGAATCTATGCCATGAGGAATTAATGCAGTTCAGAAGCAAAGGGGGTCCAACCTGGTATGAGAAGGTGTACCTAATAAAGTGGTCAGCGAGTATATTCAAAGAAAAAGAAAAAATCAGAGCATAAAACTTGAATAAAAAAGGAAGCGTTCTCTCTCAAAAATGTAAAGATGATCAGACTAGTGAAAATCATTTGGGTTGTGCTCATTTCTACACCTAGTTCAGTCCTTAGAAGTGCACTTCCGTGGCAGTGAAGTTCTCCAACAGGGCTGGTATTGGCACGGGTGCCTTAATTTGATTCGGATTCACAAGCTAATGATTTTATTCAGTCTGATTTGATTCTATATCAATCTGATAGGAATGGAATATGAAATGCTATATAGCAGCATTTAACAATTAACATTAATATTTTAAAATCTCAAAATGGAACACAAATTTACAAATGCAGAGTCCCCAACAAAGAAAGACCAAGGTTTATATTCAGTATAATTCAAGGCTAGGAAACAGCCCTAACCTCACAATTCAACTTAAATCCCAAGTGCCCAATTTTCAATTCAATTCTATTCAATTTACATTTAAGACATATTCACTAATGTGTCATTAACAATATAACTGACAGCAAGTCACATCGAGTAATATCCGTTTTCTCTTTGTGTTGTTTGCTTTTATTTTGGTTTATTTATTTTACCTTTATATAACATCCATCCATCCATTATCCATTACGCTTAATCCATCTGGGTCACGGGGAAGCTGGAGCCAATCCCAGCATCATCGGGCGAGAGGCGGGGTACACCCTGGGCAGGCCGCCAGTCCACCACAGGGCCAACACAGACAAACAGCCACACACACTCGCATGCACACCTATGGGCAATTTAGAGTAGCCAGTCGACCTAATCTGCATGTCTTTGGACTGTGGGAGGAAACCCACGCATGGACAGGGAGAACATGCAAACTCCACACAGAAAGGCCGGGCGACCCGGGGACCGAACCTGCTGTGAGGCTACAGTGCTAACCACTGCACCACTGTGCCGCCCCTTTATATAACATTATTTCGAATAACCATAAGCTGTGTACTGAATATGATTGGTAAGAATAAAGCCCTACTTGACTTGCTTGCATTCACATGCGAATTAACAATGTAACCAAAATGTAACCCCCCGAGAAAGAAAGCAACGCCACATAATACCACCTAAGAGGATCAATACAAGCAAATTCTGTGAAAAAAAATTCACAAGTCAGGGCATCAACTCGATCAATGTTGGGATTTCATGAATTGATATTGAATTTTCAACGCCAGGATCGTGATTAATCATAAAAATCTATGTTTTTTTCCCTCCCCTATTCTGAAACACATTAAAACATTGTTGCCATGCATTTCAGAATAGCACTTTGATGTTTGTCGTGTTTTTACCCATTGCTGCCATTTCACACGGGTTGTAGTGAGGCTTGTTTTCTTCACATGTTTCAAATGTGAAACTTATCCACGTCAGCAAGTTTTTTCCTACATAAAGACAAGTGTCACTGACATAACAGCAAAACGGTCTACAGACAAACTTTACAGACAAAACTGCATGGTTTATACATGTCAGACAGATGCATGTTTCATGCGTTTAAAACTGGTTAATTCGACATTATCTAATCATGCACAACTATAAACACCGACTACAGTATACATAAAGAATAATACACTCCTGATTGGATCAGTTTCAAATTTGTCTGGCATTTTCATCTCATTTTTAATTAGTTTATGAAAGTGTCCGTACATTTCATCGCTGTATTTGGCTTCACATATTAACTTGTATTATTGTCGCCAATGGAAAATTTCGTTGACATAATTTCCCACCATAGAAATTAACACTGGTTCAACTGTCGAGATGCATCCCCCCCAGTTTGGGAAGATCTGTCCTACACAATGGTAACACCTCCCTCCCTGGGTCTGAAGCACCCTCTCGGACTGCTGGGAGCGCATGACACTGATACACAGGTGTGTTGCACGTGTGAAAAAAACGTTAGCGGAACAGATGTGGGTTTGAATTCATACAAACTGGTACTAAAGCAGCTGATCCACAAAATGGAGAGACAAGAAATCTACCACAAGCCACACAGCATCTGATTAAAATATGTTAACGAGTATTAAACACACACCTACGTTCTTAAACACCTGCAACTAAAGAAACTTCAATTTTTACACACTTTAACAGTTCCTGTTATTAAGCACAAAGATATAACAACTGTTCTGACAAACTTAATGCCACTGCAAGCTTGAACACTGTTATCCAATGAGAACCACTTCCAGTTCAGTGATAGCCACCAATAGCGAAGCAGGAATGGCAATAAAGGAGCGCCCGCCCACCACAGTATAACCAAATGCAGAGTAGATTCAGCAATAAAGAAACACCCTTCCACCATGGTGTGAGTGGATACAGCGATAAGGGAAAATCTTCCCAGCAAAGAAAGACCAATCACAGATTAGGTATGGTGGTATGTCGGAGAAAAAACTAACCTGAAGACCAGCTGCGCAGAAGACCAACTTCAAAGCCTGCTTGGTTGACGACGTAGACTCTGGTTCATTTCGGGGGGCCGCAAGGGGTTCATCTAGCAAACCTGATTTGGACTCACTTCCAAACACGCAGGACTTAATGACAGGGAAACAAAATCCACGGCCTAGGCAGGGAAGAAATATCACATTCAAGTGAAGGTTGGACAATAAGGACAAAAATGCCATCACAATGAAAAATTACATATCAGGTGCTATTGATAATTATTACGATAAATGTCATTATTCCATTCCACTTTATATGCTGATTTTTGCTCCCGAGTGAAAGTTGAAGCAACCATGTGTTTTACAAACTATGCATGTATTGCCAGAATGTGAAAAACACTTGCCAAACAGCATTTCACAAATCTGAGCAAGTTGAACCTGTTATTTTAGTCGGCGACGACAAAACGCCGCCACTCGCATTCATCTTAGCATTTCTGAATGTAGATTATTTCTGTTTGCATTTGTCATGGACTGAATTTTACTGTGGACTTTCATTTTGGATTTACCCTTATCGGAAGGGCTGTGTTTTGAAGAAAATCGATTTCCTGATTCAGATCGATTTTCTTTTGCATAATCCGATATCACTTCATAAAATCCAGAGATCCAGTGCTGATTCAAATCCCTGTGGATATGTAAAGTTTTTACCCCGTTAGTCTCGCGTGGGTAAAAACCATAACGGGAGCATCTCCACTGAAGGGCTGCATGATATCACACCACAATTATTTGAAATATTTACACTTAATACTACGCTATCTACAAAACAAAAAAGATTAAGTTTACCCGAAATTTTGCCAAACAGAATTTGCTTTTATCTACCAATACATTGTGTCAAATAAGCTGCTGGTGTTATCACAAGTTGTGGCACAAATAAGGGCCAAAAACTACAATGTGATTACAGGACTTCAATTAACAGGCGTAGAAATTTATCCGGATAGCAGTTTTTCAGTACTATATAGACATTTGCTTACACCCACAATTATAAGCAGATTAGTAGCATGCCTAAAATATCAATGAGAAGTGTATTGAAATGCTTTAAAGTTAATCTGTATAAATTCCTTTATATAAAATCATTTTGTTTAATAAATGTGTCGGACTTTAAACTGCAAAAAGTACCTCCACACCACAGACACCTTTTTTTACCCAAAATGTGTCTTTTAAGATGTTATGGCTGCTGATCTGTCCCTTTATTCAGCACCACTTCAGTGCTTATTGCCTCCAGGATTTACCAAAACAGTAGCATGTAGCTACTGGGTGTCACTATCGATATTGAATCAAATCGAATGGAATCAGAAATCAAATCAATTCTAGAAATCAGTGGCAATACCCAGCTGTACATATTGGACTGGCTGCTTTCAACTCACCTGCTCTCCCATTGAGTTGATCTGTTTTGATATTGTAGTCTTTCGTCTGCTTGCTGGCCCCTATTACATTCTCTTATTTATTCAATAAACCCCCCCCCCCCTTTTGTTTTTACGGTTGTGTGCGCTTGCACTCCTTTGCTGATCTTGACAAGCAGTCAGCTGAAGTTGACTGGTCGCTGATCACATGGTTATAACACTTTCAACATGGACACCTCAGAGAATACCAGTTACAGGGAAGTGTGGGGAAGATGGATAGAAGTAGTGGAGCAAAAACTGAGCAGATGGAATAATTTCAATTACATTTAATGCATTAGTGAATACCATTTTGCTTGCATCTCCATATTTCTGCATCAGGAACATTTGATCAATAACCAAAATCAGCGTTGCCAGGGGTGAAACTTGCCAGCTCCTATTAGCGGAATAATGTTACACCATTTTTTATTCGGTGGAAAACAAAAGATTGATCTGCTGGCCAGATTTAATAATAAATTATAAACATGTTGCGGATCAAAAAGATTTGCTATTGGATTGTGATCCAAGCCCCCAGGAACTAAAAAATAATTTGGAAAAGAACTTGTTTATCCTGCACTGTTTGGGTGTGGTGGTGTAGTTTTGTATGAAATCATGTGCCTATTTACCATACACAGTTCCTGTGGTGTGGTGGAAAAGTGACCCACAAAAGTGGGCAAAAGTTACCAAAGTCTCCAGTCGAGATGACCCAGGAACTTGGAACGAGGAATTCGGTTCCTGAACTTTGGTGATAAAGCGCCTTACGACAGCAAGGGGCAACCTTACAGGATGGATATTGCGTGAGTTTTGTTTTCCTCCCTGAGTGTTGTTGTTTCTACTTGTTTCTGTCCCACGTAACAGATGTGTATCAGCTGTTGTGATATGCATTAAGTTTTGCAAATACAGATTGTCGCTTCTTGGAAAGGATTTCCCTCTGCTGTGGTTTTATTAATGCACCACCAGCAATTAGACAATTCGACTTACATGACATAATTGTCGACAAAAAAAAAGTAATGTAACCCCTACTCAGTCTACAGTATACGTATGAGAAAATTTCTGTGGATTCAATGAGTTATGGAAATTTAATGAAAATTCTTTGTTAGATTATGGGAGGACAGAGGGAGTTTTGGTTCCCAAAACTGCAACATATGATGCGGAAGCCCAACTAACTCATTAGTAATCTCATTTCAGAAACTGCTATTCAGATTATGAGGTTTTACAGCTCATGTGTGAACTACTGGAGTGAGACTACAAGCCAATAGTACCCCATAGACGTGTGAAAGCCCTCCATAATCCATTGTCAACTCACCATGGAAAGAGGGTTAAAATCGCAAGCTTTATGTCATGAAACACTCAGTTTTATATATTTATAAATCCCCAGGGCTGCTGTAACTGGTTGACGTAGTTGATGCCACTCTGTTTACTAGTGTACCTCACTGCAGTGTCAAGATAAACTGAATCCCGAATCGCTAACTACAAACTATCTTTACCGTGGTCTTTTACCAGATGTTGTGGCTGATCTGTCCCTTCCTTCACTGTGACTCCAATGCTTATTACTTGTGTGACATGTAGTATGTTCCGCTAACTGAATTCAGTGAGCATGAGGATACGCCAAATTTATACAGATTACTAACTTTTGGGCATCACAATACGCATCTCAATACTTTTGGGCATACTACTAATCTGCTTATCGAACTGTGGGAAAGCCCTGTAATGGCATAGAGTTTATTGTTAAAATAAAATTAACTTGACCATTTAATTTAAGTTGATTTTCTGGAGTAAAATTAATCGTTTAGATTAATCGACCAACCCATACAGTAGTCAACAGATTAATCAATAGAAAAATAGTTGTTAGTGGCAGCCCTATCAATCACACATCAAAACAAGCAACCAACCAGTTTCTAGGTAGTTACTCCTCTTGAAATATTTGATGAGAAGGTAACCAGGGATGATGATTGTTGCATATCCCAAAATATTGATGATGAAGCGAACCAGCCAGATGTCGTGCCAGTTTTCCTGGTGGGAGGGTTCTTCGTCAGCAGAGCGTGCCGTGGGGACAAGGAAGAGGAGGATGACAAGCAGCAGGTGTCTGGGCCGGACTCTGCTGGAGAGATGGACACCTTCAATGTCGATGTAGCCTGCATTACACTTCTCACCAACATACCGATTTTCATTTTTTAACATTTAAAAACCTTCCAAGACAAACTGTCTCTCAACTATAAGCTTACAGATCACTGCTAACAAGTGCCTAAGTTTGATATTTAATCTGGCTATCTTGGCTACCTTCTCCATTTTATATTGCAAAATGTTTCGCTTGCTGGTGACTATGACCAGCTACCCTAACAGACACAAAACAAGCACTTCATCATAATTAAAGAAGAACTCTGGCTATAAATAAGTCTTTGCAATCATGGAGTTAGATCTCAGAGTGAGTGACGCAACATCCATATCCTGGGGCTTGCAGAAATAGCATTTAGAAAACCATCACAGGCTTCAGAACAAAGCAAAGGTCATGTCAGTCACCACCTTTAAAAATAAACTTCAGCAGTTCTTGGAAGCTGAGGACTTCAGCAAGAGCTTGCAGCATGCAGATGCACAGCCACTCATCACTAAAAGACCGATTGCTTCATACTTCACGTGTCAAACCATGATTACTCCTAAACTTCACTCACACCCTATTATAATCCACAGATTACGGCAGAGATTCCGCAATGTGGAATTTTAATAGGTTTGGCCCATTCTCGCCAAGGGGCACATGGCTTCGTGGCTAAAAAATAATCTCTACTAGTAAAGTCAGCACCACAAGTCAGGCGAGTCACCCTGCCTGGCTCTGATACAGCAAGGATGCCAGCACGTCCATGACCATGCACGACATGCTGGCAGGATTTAAGCCCACCCGACCGCTTAGAGGCGAGGTAAAAGGAACAGCATTCACATTATATTTTTACATTTGTATTTAACAGATGCTATTATCCAAAGCGAAACACATTTCTATTTGAAAGCAGTGACAGCTGGTCCCCAGAACAAACGGGGGGGTAAGGGTCTTGCTCAATGGCCTAACAGTGAAATCTGTCTGCCGATACTGTGATTTGAACCAGTGACTTTTCCAATCGCAGCCCCAATGAGGCCAAGCCCAACACCGTCTGTGGAATCACTCAGCTTCAGTGATCCATCCATCACCAGGAAACTCCAACGCAGGGTCACAGTGAGCCTGAATCCTACCCAGGAAACATGATAGGGGGACACAGCGATGACCTGCATGCGAAGCCAGCCCACCCACTGTACTCCAACCCAGGGGCAGAATCGGTAACCCTAAAGCCCTGGAGTCATAGTGCTATTCACTGAGATACTACCTTGCTGCCACCCCCCCGGGGTGGGAATCAAACCCACACTGCTGAGGGTGTGAGGACACTGCGCTAACCACTGAGCCATAATAGATTTGAATATTAATTGTATTTTATTTACCATTAAATTATGCTCAGTTGGCAGCTCTACAAACTACATTCACAAACAACATACAATCTTAGCCATTCGGCAGACAACCCTGAATAAAATAATGCATTTTAACGGGGATCTTAAAATTTCAAACAATCCAAGTGTGTGACCCACCCATAGGTCAGTGGCATTTTAGATTTTCAAAACAGCATTTTTATCCATTTAATTGTATAACCCCCCTGAAAATGTCATTTGGCAAAACAGTGCTATTTTCCATATGACATTAAAATCAAAGACAATGACACAGTCACAAAGTGAAAAATGTAATTGTTGGTCTATAAGGACTCTATATCCAGGCGTGAAATTTCCACAGTAAAACTACAAATACTATTGTTTTTTTAAGGTAACAGCTTTTAATCTGTCAACATTTTTTCTACATTATTCCAGTAGACAAAAAATTGCTTTCAAAATAACATAAAATATATTTCCTACAATCACTTAATTGTCTTTGTCAAGTAGCAATATTTTATATATTTGTCATAAAATTCATTGCTTTACTGAATGACATGCTGCTGCTGCAATGTGCCATTGCATTTAAATCCAATAACTGGATGTAGCCCTAAATAGAAAAGATGACAAAAAACTTCCTAAATGAACGATAATTGTTTTTTGACACTAAAACAGACTCATAATATTGTTCTCCATTCTTTTAATACAATAATGAATATAGTCAGCTTATGTGTTCTTAAGTAAATGTGAACCAGTAAGTATCCGATCTGAGTTTAATTTTCATTACTACAATCAGTTACTCCAGAACAACCACCATCAGTGGGATTTACTTCAGCTGGCATCAACAGGTAAGTGAACAGGAAAATCACATCTATCCATCCTTTCGTTCATTTTTTATTCATTCTTTTTAATGAAGATTTTACCAAGTTAATTGTCAAATGCACTGTAGTGTGGACCACATTTCAGGCTTATAGACAATGCTGATTACTGCTCTTACGCACCATCACAGTATACCTGTCCAGAGTAGGTTAAAACAATCAACTAGGAAAGAGAAATGGGTTAAATGCAGTGTCATTATGGAAAACCTAATTCCTAACAGGCAGTTACCTGGCCACCTGTTACCAACGACCTTGACATTGATTTATAAACTTCATATTTTTTATCTCTAACAATGTCTAACTACATCTATAACTTTGTGAACACTGACATTTGACCAAATGACACTCAAATCTGTTACACAGGGTACCACATATACAAAGAAGTGAAATTCTCTTAAATGTAGGAGCAAAATCTAAAATTTACTTCCAACTTGGGAGCTCTTCAGCGGTCTTGAGTCATACTATCATATGTCACCTGACTAAAGTCATGTCACTATAGTTCAAAATTGCCTCTAATCTTTATACATTCAGGAAAATGCCCTTGTGAAACAAAGTGTTTAGATATTTAATTATGTATTTAAAGGTATACTTTGTCAAAACTTTAAAATGCTTACTAAGAGACTTAAAAAAATATGCCAAATATGTTTAAATTATTTTTATCATTTTACAAACAATTATCTTCATTACAGTCAACCCTGAATAAATAATTTTAATAGGGATCACCCAATCGCTCAATTTAGTATTATAATATTTACACAATTATGAATAGTAGTCAAGTCATGTGAGATTAATGCCTTTAAACCATATTTAGCCATTTTTATGCAAAAATATTAAATTAACTTACGGAAACAGAAATCTAGGCATCACATCATTAACCCCCATATGCCACACAAGTTAAACAAAGCTTGAAAAACAATTTAAGCCGAACTGGAGAGAGAGACTTACTTTAATCATGGGCAAATTAAAGGCAAGGCATGAAGACGAAATCCAGCTTGGGGGAGTCTCCATGTCTCACCTACTTGAGAGCCCTGGAGGTGCAAGCCCAGCCTCTTTTCAAGGCTTCACCCCACAGCCCAGACACTGGCCAACAGAGAGTCTCTTTGTGTTTCCCCATCACATCCTCCGCCTGCATAACATGCTAAAACAAACTCATAAATGCAGGAATTCACATGTGTTTCCAGCGGCTTAACTACACCAACACCAACTGAGGCCTAATTTCGCAACTACGTACAAAATGCCAAAGGTTTACAGATATTTAAAGGTGTAAAAATATTCAGACTGGAGCTTGGGCTAGTGCACTGTGTGGAATAAAGACACGCAGGGTTTGCGTGGTTTCAGACATTTGTCATTTGAGATGACAAACCAAAGGTCAACCGAATGCAGAGCAACAAAGGTATGTTTTACTTGGAAATAACCTATGCATGACAGCTAAGGCTTTAAACAAGACAGAAGCTTCACAGTGTTAGTTTTACATCAACAAACCAGAAAGCAGCAATTGCACTAATGTGCCCTAACAGGTGGAAAATGTTTTTGTCATTTTCATGGTTTTTCTTAAATCAACCAGTCACTTAATGATAAGCATTCAGTTCCTACCAAAACTCAAGCTAATGGAAATTTAATGTATACAGACATTTTTGTTTTGTTGCAGCACAATCTATCACGTAAAAAGCAATATATCAACTCAGAGTTACAGCCAATTCATTTTTTTTTATCAGAATCAGAATTCTGTAATGTTATTGCATGATTGTACATACAAGCAAAAACTTTAGCTCACTGCAAATAGCAGCATTAGTAAACAACAACAAAGACACACGTCAAAGGACAGATACGGAAACAAATGAACTATGGTTCCCAGCAGAGGGGGTATGCAAGAGACACAGTGTGTCAGCAGTTAAAATTTCCACTGATCATTTGATAACAACCCGAATGCGAACACAATAACACATGAACAGGCAAAAACACTATCATGCTGAATTCAACAGCAGCATAAAGCATGATGAAGGAATTAATCTCGTGCTGTTACCCTTTAATTCAGTATACCCTTTAAGTCGGAGTATGTCCAATGAAAATTTTACAGCTTCCTGCGGCCATTACCAAACACTAGCTATAAATCAACACGCAAATATAATGTGGGAAAAAAAAATCACTGAAAGCACATTCCACACGAGAATTTAACCAGCTTCTTAGTGGGTAACCAGCCCACCAGGAACTCACTTCACTAAGCAGAGCTGTGAATGCTTTACTTGTCAGCTAGGAAACAGATATGTCCTACTAATATACTGATGGCTTTCAGGGTAATGAAAATATTTTTAAATAAAGCACCACATAGATTTTTACACCAACTAACATTTTTTGCTTATTTTATGGACCCAGGAATCACAGAGAAGCTATATAAGCTGTATTTGACTAGCATACACCAGCTACCCATGTAGTCATCTAAAGCACAGCTTCCTGTCATACAACCAGGCATAAATAATGAAAACCATCACACTTAGAGGATGTTCACCCATCTTTTTTACTTCATAGAAAATAAACAAATCACAGATATGACGCAAAACAATTTTTGACTAATAGCTGAACATACTGGCTTTGTGAAACAGACCTCAAATTAAGTTATTTGAATTAATGGCATATTTTTGTCCAGATAAAGTAGAGGAAGAAAATATGGAATCATTCAATGTTGCGGGAGAAAAAGATGGAATCATCAACTTAATTGATTTTTTTTTTATTATTACAATTTTTACTTTGTTGCTCCTACTCGGGCTTTCATTACAGCCTGAATTGTTTGATGCATTGACTTCACTAATGAAAAACAAGTTTCCCAAATAGTAGTTCACAGATCCGCTTTGCAGGATGCAGCATTGTTGTGGACCTTTTTTTTAATGTCCACCATTAATTTTCAGTCGGATTGAAATCTGCACTGTTTGCTGCCCATGTGATTGAGTTGATATGCCCTTCCAAAAGAAAAGCTTTGGCACACTTTGCTCTGTGGCAAGATGCATTACCATCCGGAAAAATGACTCCATCGCCATAAAACCTATTTTCTATCGGTGGAATGACAAAAGTGTCCAAGATTTCAATGTACACCTGTGCATTGACTGATGAGGTAATGACTGCCATCTCCCCTGCTCCTTTACCTGACAAGCAAATTTCCCCAGTCTTTTATGACATGGGCTTGCATATTTCATCAGCCAGCCATCTTTATACGTTATTAGAACGGCATCAGACAAAAGTTACAGCATCCGCTCCTTGGTCATTGCAGATTTGTGATTGATCACCGAATATCACTTTCATCCAATCATCGACACTCCATGATTACTTCTCTCTAGTCCACCGTCTGATCTTACGCAAAGGTAAGCTTGGAGGGACTTCCATCCCCAAAAGATCCACACATGGCACATGGCCTGCATCTGTAAAATTTAAAATGCCATGACACAGGTTGGGTTTACAAAGCACCCACCCAGTCAGCTTACCATTACCCTCCTTAGAGCCTTAAACCTAAATGTACAAATATACAAGTTCTACATTCCCCCAGCGAGACTGAGCCGTACAAGTTAACAAGACAGTATCAAAATAAGTTTACTGGTGAAATCCTAAAACATCAGATACCCAGTTACATTTGTTGATCTGGGTTCTTGCGTCAATGGACACGCTGCTTTAATTTTCTCTGCCACCTCCAAACCACCCAATCTCCAGATATTGGAGGGTCATAGCAATATTCATGATTTAAAAAAAAAAAAAACTGACAAAATGTATTTATTAAAGCATTTATCTAATCTGGGAAGGTTGTTTCAAATAATTTGAAAAGGAATTCGTTTAAATTCAATAGCTTTCACATGTAAAGCTCTTTTAATATATGCAATTATAGCATAAGATGTAATGCAAAAAACACGCTAAATAAATGGAGTAGACCGAGGATCTTTTACAGGTTAATTAAAGAGGCTTCTTCGTAATCCAAAAGCTCGTTGACATTTGATCACATTCAATAACAAGGCTATCTTTAACAGAAAAAACAACATTGTGAAAAGCACATTTTAATAAAGAGCAAGTCTGGATAAGCGTGTTTAACAGGTTCATGGTCATGACTTAAGACGCTGGTAAAATACAGCCGGACAAAAGCCAGCCTAAAACCGGTATGAAATTGCCCCCTTTTACAACGAACAGGTCCACTTTCTGGAGAGGAGCTTAACCCACCGATGAGACAACGAGCTTCTTCAGAGTTACACAGCCCGAACCGCATCTGCCTTCACGCTGCCGCGTGTCACCACAATAAATTAAATTAATGAATACTGGCTTATATCCTATAGGACTTTTCCATACTTAGTCACTCACTTTATCTTTCTATTAACTCTATAAGCTTCTTTGCAACGTATTTGTAACCCCAGAGCTGTTTGTATCCTACATCTGGTTATCTCATCATTATTTATACGTCTATATGTTTATTAATTAATAGCACGTTTAACTTCTTTAATCTCTATTTTATTTTTTTATTTGTTTTTGTACTTTTTGTCTTGATTGTATGTTTAACTGTATACTTCATGCCACAACCTGCACCAAAACAAATTATTCGTACTTTTTTGAGCATTGCGAATAAACTACTTCTGATATCCCCTCAGACAGGTACCCCACTTGTCAACCACCCATACTTGACGGCCCGTTGCCCCCTGGGCTCCTACCTCTGCCGAAAAGGCGGCATTTCTCTCCACTGGTACTGCTGCCAACTCCGCCTGCGGAACCCAGAGTACCTGGCCGCTTCACAGCCCGGGAGCGCGTCCCCACCGCCGGCTACGCGCAAACACGGACACGGAGGCGGCGCTAACGCGCTTTTTACACACTAATAGCATGCGTTAACGTCCAGTAGCGGCGTCTTCACGGACAGGTTTTCCAGCCCCCACTACAAGTTATCAATTGCCTATATGTGTGTTTCCCACCTCCCGGCCAAGAGCCACCTCCTTCCGCGTAGACCTGGAGAAGGAACGGCCGCCAGCGCACCAGAGACGCCGGAAAAAAGAGACGTCGGGCATTGCAGCGCCACCGTCAGGCCGGGAGGAATTTGCGCACCGCGAATACTTCGTCCTATCAACTTTAAACACTCAGGTGTTATGCTGAAAAAGGCATCCCTGCCGTAGAATTTATGCCTGTCTCCAAATGACCGATTGGTCGCTGATCTGAAACGAGTTGAACCACTTTGGCTACCGTAGTGCTAATCGATAGCCTTAAACCTAACCCTAATCCCCAAAAAACCCGTAAAACCCTAACCCCCAAAGCACCCATAAAACCCTAACCATAACCTCCAAAAAACCCATAACCCCCCAAAACCCCCCAAAAGCTTAACTTGTCAGAACACCGGCATGCATTCTACGGTAGGGATGCCTTTTTCGGCATAACTCCTGCAATCGTTTCCAACAATTCGAATGTGCATCGATAATGCGAAATATACCAGAAATGGGTAAGTGTTCATTATCACATCTCTGCCATCATTGTAGGAAAAATCCATCCCTGTACTATATATAAAACTCGTTTGTGATGTAAGAGTTAACAGTTTGCATATTATATGAAATCATTGAAGTAGACCATCACCAGAGCGACAGGGGTATGGCAACTGGTGTAAATGCACAGCTATGCCTTCACTGTCGGAAAAAAACCGCGTATATAATGTGTTATATTGGTGTCACTGATCGCCTCTACAGCTTGTGGTAGGGTTGCCACCTGTCTCGGGTTTCCAGGGATTATTCTGTTTTTTTTGAGCAACTGTCCCAGAAAATGAATATTCTTTCCCGGGACTCAAACTGTCCTGATCTTTTTTTTGTGAATATGTACATCTAATTTAGAATTTCATAGTTCCAAATAAAACCTCACTTGATTTTCATTTTTCTTCCTGCTCATCTTTATATATCCAATCCTGTGTCCGTAAATGGTTTAAACAGCGACGATTACCCTTGTTTATACCTCTACTTGATTGGTAGCAGAAATACGAAGCTTTAAGTTATTACCTAGCAACTGCGCGGGCTGTCGGTCTGCCGATCGAGCGCTATCCACGTCAAAGAAAAAGCGATTTTCAACGTACAACTCAGAGGAAACTTTTCTGGATGGATAAGGCACAACCAAAGAGAGTTGGGGGATATTGCACAAAACAGAATTTCCCAGTTATAGCTGGATAACTTAAGCCAAACGTGAAAATTGTTCAATAGGAGGGGAGGTAAACGACCTTTTATTTGGCTTTATTTGGCGCTAGAAAATTCATGCAACAACACCCCTCCAAATGATTGAATTCAGGTGTTCCAATCCCTTCTATAGCAAACGGTGTATAAAAGCAAGCACCTAGGCATGCAGACTGCTTCTACAAACATTTGTGAAAGAATGGGTCGCTCTCAGGAGCTCAGTGAATTCAAGTGTGGTACCGTGATAGGATGCCACCTGCATGTGCAATAAGTCAATTTGTGAAATTTCCTCGCTACTAAATATTCTACGGTCAACTGTTAGTGGCATAATAACAAAGTGGAAACAAATTGGGAACAACAGCAACTCAGCCATGAAGTGGTAGGCCACGTAAAATCACAGAGCGGGGACAACGCATGCTGAGGCACACAGTGTGCAGAGTCAATAGCTACAGACCTGCAAACTTTCTGTGGCCTTCAGATTAGCTCAAGAACAGTGCGTAGAGAACTTCATGGAATGGGTTTCCATAGCTGAGCAGCTGCATCCAAGCCTTATATCACCAAGTGCACTGCAAAGCGTCGGATGCAGTGGTGTAAAGCATGCCACCACTGGACTCTAGAGCAGTGGAGACGTGTTCTCTGGAGTGATGAATCATGCTTCTCTGTCTGGCAATCCGATGGATGAGTCTGGGTTTGGTGGATGCCAGGAGAACATTACTTGCCTGATTGCATTGTGCCAATTGTAAAGTTTGGTAGAAGGGAGATTATGATGTGGGGGTATTTTTCAGGGGTTGGGCTTGGCCCGTTAGTTCCAGTGAAAGGAACTCTTAATGCTGCAGCAATCAAAGCCATTTTGGACAATTTCATGCTCCCAACTTTGTGGGAACAGTTTGGGGATGGTCCCTTCCTGTTCCAACATGACTGCGCAACAGTGCACAAAGCAAGGTCCATAAGGACATGGATGAGCGAGTCTGATGTGGAGGAACTTGCACAGAGCCCTGACCTCAACCCGACAGAACACCTTTGGGATGAATTAGGGCAGAGACTGCGAGCCAGGCTTTCTCATCCAACATCAGTGCCTGACCTCACAAATGCTCTCCAGGAAGAATTGTTAAAAAATCACATAAACACACTGCTAAATGTTGTGGACAGCCTTCCCAGAAGAGTTGAAGCTGTTACAGCTGCAAACAGTGGCCAACTCCATACTAAAGCCTATATATTAAGAATGGGATGTCATTAAAGTTAATTTTCATTGCTAAAGGGAGTATACCTTTATTTTATTATACCTTAATAATAAATAATAATTAGACAATATATATTTACTCATTAAAGCAAAAAAATGGACAAAGGAGTCCAGAGTGGGTTCAACTGCGTCTGCATCAAGACAAATATATATAAGAGAGGCAATACAGATTCCTGTCTCTAATAACATGGCTTTTTTGCAAAAAATGGTTTAATCGCACCTCCCCCCCCAAAGAAAGTGTCCCAAATTTTCACAAATCAAAGGTGGCAACCCTAGCTTGTGTGCTGAAGCAGTATATCTGTATTTTGGCCTACGCAGAAACCTTTCTGATTTCCTCCCAGCGACAAACATATTTATTCTAACTAAAATTCCACTCAGTGCGACCTCCGTGACTAATTATTTAATTGATACCGCCAAAGTGAGTTACGTATTTTCAGATGCACAGTTCATTTCAGAGGTGTTCTATTCCATTAGATTTAAATCTAGACACTACTAGAGATCGATCAGCAGCCGATTATCAGTCCTGATTACTCAGTTGGCACCCTTTAATTTGACCGATCACAAATACCGATTTTGCGGATTACGTACAATACGTGGGTTGATCACTTATACTGGTTCCATGAAGTTTTTAACACAGCATCAGCACTATGTTGTCACTGGTCTAGTGGTTTTACCAGATATCCATGAAAGATTTACAACATATTTGCAAAAGCAGTTGCTGACGGAGAATCATCTGCTAAAATGGCTTGGATCTTTGCGTGCACCAGCCTCAGTGAGTCAGATAGCGAAGGGCTGTAATTTCTTTTCCAACTTTGGGGTATTATCCTTTGCCAACTGGTAACAGCAAGGCAGCTAACCGAGTATTTTTCACATATTTGTAACACTTTAATAGCATGCAAGAATAAATACAGCGTTCTGAGGTTATGCTTAAAGTAGGCATTTAGAACAATAGGTGAAGTCAGTCACATGTAATGTTACCAGCATTTCCAGCATTTCCAAATAAACTGAATCAGTTCTTGTAAGCTGAGGCTATTATAAACCACAGATCATGACAGAGATTGGGCAGGGAGATGTGAGAGGCTGGTTTCAGCATGTTTGACCAATTCTCGCCGAGGGGCACATGGTTTCACAACTAAAAAGTGGATTTCTGAAGTAAAACAGTCACTATGGCAGCAGGGCTATTACAATGGGAAGTGGCGACATGCACAGTGCGGCCTTGACTGTAGGAAAACACGTCGTGTATAATATTGCAAACTCGTCTTGTACTCAGTACCTAATTTAGGTTATCGTGCTGAAAAACTCTCTGTATTTAGGCCTCTAGAATCTTTTCTGATTTCCCCCCAATGACAAAAGCATTTTTGTTCTAATCCAAAAATAAGGGATGAAAAATCTACTCAGTGTGACTACAGCAAGTTATTTAATTGATACTACCACAGGACGGTTAGATATTTTCAGATGCACAGTTTATTTCAGAGGTTTTCTATTGCATTGAGTTTAAAGCTACAGACCACAGCATGTATAATTATAATTACGTCACTTATAGTTTTGTTTACAGCTCATTTATACTTACATTGTGATTCAACACGAAAATTCTGTTTAGCTACTTCATTTTATGAAGAGGCATTTAGATGTGCTTTTAGTTATTTGTTTGCGATACAGTCTCCTTGTGTGGATGTTGTTACCTTTGAGTGCTGTGATATTACCCAACAGTCAAAGGATCTGTGTGTGTGTGTGTGTTTGTGTGTGTGAGAGAGAGAGAGAGAGGATGATGGTGACGAGAACCACGTTCCATGGAAAGAAGTATAACCAGTAGCACACAGCTTTGACAGTCTTAGTTGAATACTTGCCATAACTTTGTAAACACACACATATATATATACATACACACATATATACAGCATCCTCCAAAATTATTGCCACCCCTGTTAAAGATTTGTAAAAAGGGTTAGGAAAAATCCACGTTTTGGTGAAGTAGTTTTATATCACACTGAAACAAGGAAAAAAAAAATCCAACCTTTCCTTAAAATAAATTTATTGATAGAAAAAATTCCTTCAAGAAATACTTATCTTTAACAAAAACACATGTGCCATGATTATTGGCACCCCTGCTTTAAATACTTTGTACAACCTCCCTTTGCCAGAACAACAGCACTGAGTCTTCTATAACATTTTATAAGTTTGGAGAATACCAAGCAGGGCATCTGAGTCCATTCCTCTTTACAGAATCTCTCCAGATCATCCAGGGTCTTAAGCCATCTCTTATGCACTCTCCTCTTCAGCTCAGCCCACAGGTTTTCAGTGGGGTTCAGGTCAGGGGACTGAGATGGCCATGGCAGAAGTTTGTTTCTGCGGTCAGCTAACCACTTTTGTGTTGATTTAGGATAACTGTCCGGCTGGAAGATACAGTGACGGCCCAGTTTTTGTTTCCTGGCAGAGGCAGCCAAATTTTGATGTAAAATGTCCTGGTATTTCTTGGAGTCCATAATGCCATGTACCCTAACGAGGTTTCCAGGGCCTTTGGAGGAAAAACAGCCCCACAACATCACAGAACCACCACAATATTTTGCATTTGGGATAAGGTTCATTTCATTATAACCGTCTTTCTTTTTGCGCCAAACCCACCTTATATGTACTGCAAAAAAGCTCCATTTTTGTTTCATCAGACCATTGAATTTGGTTACAGTCAAAGTTGTAGTAGTGCTTCGCAGGTGCTTATGTTTGTGGTTAACTGACAAAAAAAAGCTTTCTGGCAAACCTTCCAAATAATCTGTTAGCATGAAGGCATGATCGTTTTTCAGAGACATGGTAACTCAAGATTTTACATGGTCTTATACCTCACCAGCAGTCATCCTTGGGGACGTGGGGGAGAAATAAACTTGGGTCCTCTTCCAGACAGGTTTGTAACAGTTCCAGTTGTTGTCCACATTTTTATTATTGCACTAACAGTAGAAATTGGCATTTTAGGTGAGTAGCTATTTTTTAATACCCATCACCTGACTTATGAAGGTCAACACACTTCTCCCTCATTTGGTTTGTATGGTCTCTTATCTTTCCCATGTTGATGGATGACTAAGGGAATTTGGACTCTGTGTCACATCATGTTTGTATCCCTGTTAACCAGGAAGTCATGGATTACAGCTTGAAGGTTCCTATTCACGCCACTCAACTCATAGATGTAATTTACAAGGGAAACATGCTTCAGTTACATTGTGTTCACTATAATTTCCAGGGGTGCCAATAATCGTGGCACATGTGTTTTTGTTAAAGATAATTATTTCTAGATGAAGGATTTTTTTTTTTCTTGGAATAAATTTATGTTAATGAAAGGATGGATTTTTCTCAATTTTTCAGTGTGACATGAAGCTGCTTCACCTAAGGTGGATTTCCTCTAACCCTTTTTACAATGCCAATAATTGTGGAGGGCAGTGTGTGTGTGTGTGTGTGTGTGTGTGTGTGTGTGTGTGTGTATGTGTGTGTATATATATACACACACACACACACACAATATTATTCTGGACCTGTAACTTTGTCACTGTCCTGAATCCACGATTCACTTTGTCATAATTACACATTGCGTTTAGCAATAAACAATGAAGAGCACATGGGAGACAGTTACTGTCACTTGGCAATGTTTTAACTGGCAACTATTTTTGGCACCAACGGAACTGAGGATTAATTTGGACCAAAATTACAATGTGATATTTTGATAGACAATATAACACAGAATGATGCAATGAGTGACAGGAATTTCAATCCATTGTACTCATTAGCGGTATGGTGCATGAGCTCAATTCCTCAAGCAGCCGTCCGTCCCTCTGTGTGTGTGTGTATGTGTGTGTGTGTGTTCTTGCACTCCTCCATTTCCTCCCACAGCCCAAAGATGTGAGCATGAGCTCACATCTTCAAATTGCCCTAATAGTGTTTTTGTATGTGTCCCCCAACCGGAGCTTACTGCATAGGATAAATGATTCCGTAAAACTGACATGACCTGGGAAATGGAAATTCCTGTAAAATATAGTTTGTCACGCTTTTATGCATCCTGTCCCATCTCACAAATTGATGTATTGTTCTTTTTTTCCCAGCAAAACTGTTTTGTACCATTAATGTCTAAGCTGACCGGCCTAATCCAGAAACAGGTTGTTTTGAAAACAGCCAAGACCTCCTGGTTTCAGCTACATTTCCTTGTTGGAAATTCCAGTAAGCAGCAAATGCATTCTTCTTAAACACCGTTTCCTGATTCAGAATAAAATACACTAATTCATGCACCTCTACGGGATAATTTAGAATTTAGTGATTGTCATTGTTGACACCACAGCACACAGTGCACAACAACGAAATGTGTTCTCTGCATTTAACCCATATGTGACATAGCATGTGACAATGAGATTATACGATGTTCTCCATCTTCTATCCGCTTCTCAGTGAGCACAGGGCAGACTCGCACTGACCGGCATTACAGCACATCGCAGGGCAGACTCACACTGACCGGCGTTACAGCACATCGCAGGGCAGACTCGCACTGACCGGCGTTACAGCACATCGCAGGGCAGACTCGCACTGACCGGCGTTACTCTAGGGCTGGGCACTTAATCAAACTTTATTTTCATTTAATTTCGACTACCAACGATTTTCAAAACAAAAGTCAAGATGAAACTATTGTGTTGCGTTTTGTTTCACCTGTTTTGTCTTGTTATAAATTCAGAAGCACCCCTTTTCAGGGGCTATTGTGTTTCTGGGCTGAAATACATTTAGAGTTCAAAGAAATCCACTGCTAAAAAATTTATTAAGTTCAATCAATGCATGATATTTCCAAAATTTGGAGTATCCGTGATCTCAGTATTGACCAAAAATAACCATATAATCTTTTTGCCATAATTGAGCAGTCCTAATTCACACACAATCATTTCCTCCTCTCCCAGGCAAACACAATTGCCCAATTTTACTTTGTCTTTGACCCATAAATGTCAACTGACCACGGTGGTCGTACAAGTATGATAGTATGGTTTGCCTGACATGACATGCAGTGAAAGTCATTTCCAGTAATCCTTCCCCCCCCCCCCCATAGCTTATGTTCGCTTTAGAATATAATTAACCAGATACCCAGAGAAGCCTGACAGCAAGTCAGTGCCAAAGTCTATTTATACTACAGTGTAACTAAATTATGTCAGAGATAAATTACAGTTCATCCACTGAATTCAGAACTTGTAAATATGCATTTCAAACTGAATAACCCCTAGTGATAAATTTGCATTATGGTGAGGTTTGCAATTTGACACCAAGCTGAATTGAACAGCTGGTCCGAGTTACTGAGGGTGCTTCACACAGGTTAAACCCCACTTACTGCTCAGATCTTGACTTGATCTGTCATCTAAGCTGTGAAACCCACACACAAGATAGGTTGTTCAGGTAAGCATAGCATAAATGAAAGGCTTTAAGAAAGGATGACAACGTTTAATGTACAAAAAAAACACAAGAATATTTCATGTATAAAGTAAACGGCCATCAATCTGGGCCACAAATGTAAACAAAATTACGATATGGGGGGAAAATACAAGACAGCCAGCAAATCTATTAAAACAGAAAAAAAATTAAACGATAAATCTGCTTTGCATTTAGTTCTTAAATCAACACGCATTACCTGATTTTTACTTTAAATTTCAATTCAGGGGAAAAATTTGGATATGGTCAGGTCATGATTTTAGTGTCAATTACTTTTGGGGGAAAAAACCAATGGACACTGTATACCTTAATCCTAAAATCAAATAAACCCAGATTGGTACATCGGAACGCTACCTTTGCATTCATTTTGCCTGTAGCATCAGGTCAGAGACCCCATTTCACATGAGAAATCAGACATTAATTTTGGGCAGAAATGTTTACTCATCATTAGCGAAGTCCTTTGAAAAATAAAGGTTAACATCAGCTTTATGTACAGCTCATGTAACAATATACAGACATCTTTCATAAAACCGATGTTTAAGAAGGTTTAGTATGTTAGTACAGAACATGTATCAAACTTTGCAATGTTTCATAACCGGACCCCATTGTTACACTGACGGAGACCAGACAAACAGCTATAATTCCAGACAAAGATGCCTGTGGACAAAATGACCCTTTAAACGACCCCCTCACCAGCCGCACGCACTCAGAATTTCATGCCGACGACGGACCGGCCAGAAATCTGGATGTCATCGAAGGGGAAGAGTGCCAAGATCTGGAAAAGAGGGGAAATTCTCATTGACAGGGGAAAACACTGCAGCTGGTTATCAGGTAACAACTGCATAACATTTAAATTTTCACTGACTTCCTTCCTGATTTGGATTACAATCCATGGCGGTAAAAAAAAGCCAGGTGTTTGTTTTCTCTGTTCCACTATCATGGGGAAACATCTCAGCCAGAGTCAGGCTGTTATATTAAGCACTTAAAGAGAAGAACCTTGACCAAAACAACATTTATTTAGAAAATGCTGTTATCCAAAGTGACATACAATTGAAAGGAGGATTAGACAATTCCTGGAATTTTTGGGGATTAAGGGCCTTACTCAAGGACCCAATAGTGAAAATACTTTGGCGACCATGGGATTTGAACCAGCAACCTTCTGAGCACGAGCAGCACCCCAACCCACTGAAGGACACACTGCCTCAGCTGACCACCAATCAGATGTAAATGCACATCCTGCTGGATTCCCAGAGCATAAAGACAGCCCAGTTGACTTACGTCGTCGTTGCCGTCGGCGAGGTCCAGCGCGGTCTCGTCCTCCATGTTCTTCAGCATCCTGTCAGCCCCAGACTGGCAGAGGAGGGTCGCTATGGAGGCGTCTTGCCTCCCAACGGCCAGGTGCAGTGGGGTGCAGCCGTTGAACATGGCCGCATCCACATTGGCACCTTTACTCAGCAGCAAGGTCACCAGTGCCATGTCATGCAGCTCCACAGCCAAATGCAGTGGCGTCTTCCCGCTTGTCCCTTCCTGCATGTCAGGGAACGTGTCAATGACCAACAGGACACCAGGTAGGTCCCTGCATATACCAGGGGTTTTCACTCTATTAAACCTGGGACACCCCCCTCAAAATAAAAATAGAGCTGGGGCGGTGGGGGTGCTTGTGTAAACTGGATGATATCAACATTTCGGGAATCTGCGTCGAATCTCAGCATAGCTCCAACAACTGCCACTCCGCAGAGACCCCCCACCCCACGCTCGCGATGACTGGCGACGAAAGTATAATCATTTAATCTTCGTGCATAAAATGTTAACGAGAAAAAGCCCGGAAGAGCACCAAAGTAGGCAGTCAAAACTGAAAGGAGGCGGACTGCTTGCTCAGTTTCAGTATGCAACTGAATCTCAGTATGTCTGATCTTTCAGTCGTGTGAGCAGAAAAACACACACACACCCACACACACACACACACACACACACACACACACACTTTTGCATGTGAGACCAGAGGGTTTTTACCAGAAACAGCTCAGACAGGTGGGACCTCTCTCACCTGGACATTTAGGTCTGCACCAACACCTATTAGGAATTTCATCAGACGAGGGTTTCGACGCAGCACCACCAAATGAAGACACGTCAGACCTAAAACGAGAGAGATGAGCTACATCAGCCATTTACTAAAAATGTTCCTGTACAACAGAGACATACTCCCTCAAAAATCTGGAACTTAAGAACTCGGGGACTTTCCCCTCTGAAAAAAGGCGCCAGGCAATCCAGTTAACCCAAGGATTCACACAGCTGAATACAGCTTTTAATGTCAGCAGAAGTCCTGTGTGATGCAGACACATTTCTGAAGATGCAGATGGGCTCTGAGGCCCAGAACGGCAGAAGACACAGGAAATAAAATTACAGGAAAGGAAAACAACAATCCAGGTATCAGTTAACTCATTATTTTCACTCTAATTAAAGATATGTTCTTGACTTTAATTTTATGAAGGGGAAAAGGCATCTGAAAACAGAACTTTGATTTTTACGAGAAAAGTAATCTAAACCTCTGCACCTGTATTCAGAAGTTCGGCTGTTTCAATTCGGTGCTCAGCAGAGTCGTCATATCTCAGTGGAACCCTTGAACGTGGCCCATAAACCCCTGAAAGATGCTTCTAGGAATGGATGGCTCACTCTGTGCTTTAACCCCAAGTATCACTCTCACCTCTTTGTGTGTGCGCCATAAGACACCAAGATGGGACACTCAGATATGCCCGTTCTTGTACTTGCACAAATGGCAAATAAAACCTAACTTCTTGCAGAATAACATCACAGACCTTTTTCCTGCCACGACAGCATGCAGAAGTTAGGGCTCACCTCTCCAGTTCTGCATCTTCAGCACTCTCTTGAGCTGATGGCCAGGGATCTCCGCAGCCATCTCCTGGGCACAGTCCTTCCGGCCGTGCTCACAAGCCACATGGAGAGGGCTGTTACCATCCTGGTCCTGCACCTCCATGCTGGCCTCCTTCTGAATCAGCCTCCGCACCACAGCTGGTAGGTCCAGGTAAGTAGCAAGGTGGAGGGGTGTCTGAGGCCAAGACCAAGCCGGCAAGATTAAACGGACAAAACCATTGGCCTGTACTACGAAGCGCGGTTATTGGCTTATCAGATTTAAGGTAGTCCGGGCAAAATGTAAGTGAACGAATATGAAGTCCATTTAAACTGTGGTACCTTAAATCCAACAAGTTAACCCGATAAGCCAGTAACCCCGCTTCGTAGTATAGGCCACAGGCCTCCGATGCCAGCTCAGAACAATGTACCACTCAATGCGACCGGGGCCCAAACCACGTCACAATCATGATACATCCTGACACACATTACTGTACTACAGCTCCAGATTCTGCATGTGGCTGATAAGCAGCTGTTGTATAGATTCACAGCTTTGTTTATATTGCCTTCTGTAAACTTTAGCTTTGTAGAAAAATAGCTTAAATGACTCATCATCTAAAATGCTTACTGCCCCTGTTCCGCCTCCTCTACTCATTTCCTGCCACCCCATCAGGATTATCGAGAAGCAAGGTCAGCCTTCCTCAGCTGTTCTGTCATTCTGATTTCAGAAATGACACCCCCACATTGCATCAGTTGCTTAAATTCTAAAACTTTCCTTTCCATTGAAATTTGCCAAACAAGGGAGAACAAACCCCTATCCCATGCTGAAGTCTGATTTCTGGGGTTATTCCCCCAATACACCATTCAGAAAATCCCTGTTCCCATCCCCACAGAAAAAGAAAATCCCTACTGGAAAACAGAGAAACACAAAGTTCCCTCAAATAATCACACAACGATGACAAACATGCATTTGTATTTCATCTGTGTACCACAAACATGCAAAACAAAAATTACAGAAAAGGAACAAGGAGAAATTTACCTGGTATAAATTATTCTGAATGTCCAGTATCTCTTTAGGGAAAAGGTCTACCAATTTCTCAGCAAAGTCTAATTTCTCATGGATTATTGCTAGATGTAAGATTCTGCAGGGAAATAACAGACAAAAAGAAGTTTTTTGGTAAATATTGTTTCTCAGCCCAGCTTAACAGTAATGACAAAAGCCAGACTAAGAATGACTACTTAAACAAGCTGTTCAACAAATTATTAAATGTTTAAGTATTTACAGTACAGGGCAAAAGTTTGAATACGCCAAGCTGCCTACAAAGGAGAGTGATAGTGTCACATCACATGACCTGGCCACCTGACCAAAAGCCAGTAGAAATTGTTTTGGAGGAGTTTGACCAGGGGGAAAACAGCCAATCAGTGCTCAGCATACATGTGGGACCTCCTGCAGGGCAGCTGGAAAACCATCCCAGGAGGCCACATCATGAAACTGGCACAGAGGAGACAGTAGGGTCAGCCAGTCCCTGCAGCAATCGAGGTTAAGGGCCTTGCTCAAGGGCCCAATGGTGGGATCACGCTGCCGACCCAGGGAATTGAACCAACAACCTACTGAGATCAACCCACAGAGCCACCCCCCAATATTTTTTAAATACTTTTTTGGTCAATGCGTAAAACTATAACATATATTGAATTAACGTCTTTATAATCATTCTAAAAATGTAGAGAAAAGTACAAATTAACCCACTGGGGGTGTGTTCAAACTTGACCAATACTGTATATCGCAGTACAGAAAGAGTACATTTTTCATCATTGCTACAAGCATTAAATAAATGTAACATTCAGAGGAAGCCTCCATACCAAGCAGTTAAGATATTGCACAACCAAGGAATTTACACAAGCACATCAGGTCTAGTCAGAAATAAGGTCATTCAGTTAAAGGGCCGTTCCACATTTTTGAAAAGGAGGAAGTGGAAACACAATTACTGGTCATTACGCAGAGGTGTAAAAAGTTACAAAAAAAATTATTAAAAGTACTGACTAATGGCATTTTATTTTTATCAGAACATTCATAAAATACTGATTTTATATACACATGGAACTTGAATTAAAAAAAATCAAAGATTTAAAATGACGTGCTGATTCTCCAGAAGCAGAACATCAGAAATGAAAAAGGGAGGCGTCAGGGGAGGTGTGCACTGCAGCGGGTCGCTTACTAGAATTACTAACGGCAAGCTGCATATCAGTCAGCCTGCATGAGCTCACACCCAAAACCATAACAAAACTCAACAGTCCCCCCAACACCGTCCACATCTTCAAGTCATGAATTATGAAATACGGCAGACTATATGGCCATGTTGATTCTCAAAACAAACATTTAAAAAGAGGCACATAAATGAAATCTGAATGGCCTTAGAAAACTCTGGCACATTGACTGGATAATGCTGTGGAAAACTGGAAACTAAACATACCCAGACATCTCTCAAAAGTAAAGGTACCACATTTTAGCTGTGCTGTAGCCTAAATATGAAAGCTTTAGAGACACTTGTGTTGTGATACAATGGCATTTCCATTAAAAAGACAAAGCCTTTAAAATCACTGCAAGTTCAGTCAGACTTGGACTATGACTCTGATGTTGAATTTCCAATGGAAACCATGTCTTTCACAAGAAAGGGAAGTGCACGATCTCAGGAACCATCAGAAACACCTCATTGGACATTTGCTTTTACACTTTTGTCCATCTCGCTGCCAACATTATTAAATCTTTCAGCTGAAGACAGGCAAGCAAAGGAGTATTTACAGCAAATGCGACCTTCTGACAGGAGGACAGATTAATGTGAACTTCAATGAACCAGTCTGCCAAAAAAGGCACCAGGGCTGGACTGGGATTAAAAACTGGCCATGGACTTTTGCCCAGACAGGTCCACCAGTCACACATCCACCATAAATCCTGCCGATTGGCAGAGGGTCTCCACGGTAACTTTTCGGGAGCATAAAGCCAGGCGTGCCAGATGGCCAGTGCAGCCCGGCAGATATTCATGCTGAAATAGTAAAGGACACTCAGACTGAATTCTGAACAGAATATATTACACATTATGTCAAGCCTGAAAACAAACACAGAGATTGTAAAGTTTGGATTCAGATTTATTATATAGGCTACCCCGATCAAGCTCCTACTACAACTGGAAAAAAAGTAGCAGCAATTTGTACCTGCCATCACTGGGTTGTACACTCAAGGGTAAATGTACTTTTTAAGGTACAGAATTGGACTAAAACATTTTTGTACCATTGTGGGTACATTACTGCTGTTGATACCTTGGGGATGTTCCTCAGAGGCCATTTCTGTACTTTAAAAGATACATTTACCTACAACTAAGGGTACAATTGACAGACTCCTGAGGGTACAACCCCAGTGACGAGCAAAGGTACAAAATGGTACCCTCTTTTCTGACAGTGTATAATCAGACAAGTTTGATTTATAGTTGTCTGACAAAATTAGTGTCACTTTAGTTAACCATTTTACTTATTGGAAAAGTAGTAAAGGTGACCACTGTAAGCTATATGGTAGAGTGATACGGTACATAGACAGACTATTGCTAGACCAAGACTTCCTTTCATTCACAAAGATGAACAACTCATCCAACTTTGAAGTCAGCTAACCTTTATCATGAAACAAATCTACACTAAAAAGCCTTTCTAAAGGGGGAAGCCTTTCTAAAGACTTTCGGAATCTGGAAAGTGCTCCATCCCCCCCGTCTTTCAGAGAATCAGAAACGGCAGGAGGATAAAGATTCAGCTTTCAAGTCTCCCCGACGACAAACAGAAGAGTCTGGATCTGCAGACTTCATATCAAGTCATGCTTAAGCACAAGACCACCAGATACTCCTGTGTTGTTAGTAGCAGGTGAGGCAGTTAAGAACAAAACCTTGTTAAAATAGCATTTTACCGTTCCATTTCCAGTCTTCTACAGAGATAGGTCTCGTGCACTTCATGTATAAATGCTTGTGTTAGTGATTTAGCAACAGTGGAAAATGGTTTTCAAAGACAGGGAGTACTTCACTACTATATAGTATGAATATAATGCAGACGGTAAATGCACCAAGTCTTTTCTTAGTCAAAGTATATGCTCTATATTTCTGCAAATAACGAAACACATATGAAAGCAGAATGTCGTCTCGTCTGGAAATTGTGATTCATAAGTCAATCACATGTATTCGTGGAAATGGCCAGGAACTGAATATTGAGGGAAGCGAATCGGTAACGCAGAAATGTGGAAGAAACGGGCGCGCATGTATCGTCTAATAAAAGGCAGCGAAGAAATGCTGCTTCCTTAGGACACACTGTGGGGGCAGAACCGACAAGAAAGAGCAGAAGCGGTAGCACTTTACTGTCCGTAAGAAGTCATTAACGCATGCAGATAACAGAGCAAATAGTGAAACTAGCTGGTTATATGCTTATTTATTTGTAGTTCACTAGAGTGGTGAGGAAGAGAGTAGGCCAGCTTGGCCCTGACCTGTGAAGGGGAATTTCCACGGTTGACTTTTGCACTTCTGCAATCTGATTTAAGCTAAACCACGGGGGGGGCATGCCACTCACAGCAGCCTCTGATGGCGGCGGCAACAGTACGGTATTCTGTAAATTTGAGTTTCGACAAAAGTGATTTAAAGTTTGCACTGCTTGCTAAGTCGCATGCGAATTCCTGCAGCTGAAAGCCGAGCGGCAAACGCAAACCGAAAACAGCCCGAACGGTTTTCAGCGCGCTGCTTCGCCTCTCACGCGCTTCTCACCCCCTAACGAGCACGCGATTACCCTCCGCGCGCGTTCGTCCGCGCTGATCCGTGATCGAATTATGTATATATTTAAGAGTAACAAGTACAATTCTTAACATCTACAATATAGTCACTGAAGGAAATAAATCCCATTTTACGGCGAATATTAAAATACGCGATTACAGTCCAGTTTTACGAATCAAGTAACATGACACCAAAAACGGTAAAAGGAACGCTGCAAATAATCGGGTCACAAGAAAAATTGTATTGGTTTACTACGAGCACTGTATAAATGCTAGTCACTCGGGTTGCAGTGTTTGAACAATATGCAGGTTCTAAACCCTCAAGAATTTGACATGTTAGAGTTTTTCAAGAAATAGGCCACCCAATGACGATTATAGGGGTGAAGTTGCATTTAGCATTAAAGGTTCACTGTACAGTTTCTATTGACTCAGATTAACTTTCTTGTAAACACGTCTAGGAACAGTAAATCTGGACAATTCGCCACTGAATTCTGTCCTACACAAATTCATTTTATACCACCACAATTTTATACTTTATTATACCTATGTGCCTGACACAAGCTGTTAAACCAATGGGATTAATAAGCAAAGATGTGCGCATTATTTATTTCACCACAAATTGATGATGTGCGAATGACTGGAGGAGGACACGTACGTGTCTCCGTCGTCGGTGATGATAGCGAGGGGGCTCAACTCCTCTTCGGCGCCCTCCGTGATCTCCAGCACCTCTCCGCCCGGCTGCTCCGAAATGCTGTAACCCTGCATCATGCCGGTGATACTTTCCACCGACACCGACATAGAGGAGCTGTAGGCAGAGTCCACACGGTCCTCCGGTACACTGTACAGCTTGTCCTTCATATCGGCGTCCTGCTCCGGGTTCGATCGCAGCGGCTGATCATCCTTATTGATTGATCGGAGCAGGTCGATGCCCGAATCCATCCGGGCGTCTTCCTGGTGGTCCAGCTTGACCGCCTCGTCGTCGGTGCTCGCCATGGCGGCGTCCGGGTCAGCTTCGTGCTCTTTAACGTTAACTGCGGCGGCCTACCCTGCTTTAATGCCGTCCACAGAAAGGTTAGGTAAAACCACACCTGGAATACAGCTTTTCCTTTCTGAAACTAGCTGCTTGGATCACTACCTTTCATGCCACCCAAAGCCTCTCTCTCCGCACTTACAAGCTACATTAAAATAAAGTTACCCAGCTTGGTGCCTGGGTTTTTTTTCTCTCCCCTTTTCCCTACTTTCACGTAGAAGGAGCCCCCGACGACTGCATATGCTACACACTGATCAAGTCCCTCGGAATCAGACCGAGGGCACGGAGCCCCTGCCTAACATCCCAGCCCCGTCCGCGGCTGTGTGCGTCTGAGCTCGACCGGACGCTTCTAACGAAAGGAGACTGCCGGGGAATCCCCGAAGGGAGTGGCGTGCGGTCACATTACACGCCGAGCATATATCCGGAGTCTCCCTAGCTGTGTTGGATTGCTGGCGTCTTTTTCTCCATCGTGAAGGTCTCACGCTGTGGGCCAAACAACTACTTTTCCACCAAGAAGCCCCTGAAAATCCACCAACCGCTTTACGCTGGGAAATTCAAAGCGTGCCGTGTGTCAGTGTCTCTTTATCGGCCTCTCTGTACTACATCTAGCTTTTTTTCCGAAACAATACGTAGTGCAATTATCTCTTCGCATTAAACGCATTGCACAGGGGAAAAACACGCTTCCGGACTTGTGCGCACCTTCAGGGGGCCGCTGCGCATGCAGACTAATAAATGTAAGAGGATAACACTACACTGGGACAAGACCTCAAAGCGTTGGCGATAAAGCGTTTGGAAATATATGTACCCTTCATGCGACCTATCTGCAGAATAATTTTCATCCATGTTTAATGCGTTGTAACTGTCAACAACCTGTTAAGTAATAGACGTACTTAATATACGCACACGACATTTTTAAACAAGTTTAAACTGAGGTGCCCAGATGATCCATGTCAAGGAGGATACACTAAGCTTGGACAGGATTCGCAAACTATCATTTCAATTAAAAGGACCTGAATTTCACTTATGCACCGAATTCTTGCTGTGTGCTAATTTTGGCTATTGTGCATTGATTATGCATGTCACTAATATTAATGTGATATAGCTGGATGAATCCTTCAATCAAGGAGGCAAACCAAACAGCACAAGAGCCAAACTATTTAGCCAAGCCCCGCAGCCTTCCAACATTAAACTAGTTTGTAAAACCATTGGCCTGTACTACGAAGCGGGGTTTCTGGCTTATCGGGGTAACTTGTCGGATTTAAGGTACCACAGTTTAAATGGACTTCATATTAGTTCACTTACATTTTGCCCAGACTACCTTAAATACGACAAGTTACCCCGATAAGCCAGTAACCGCGCTTCATAGTATAGGCCACAGAAGTCTTCCCTGGCATGGTATATCTGGTCACATACAATCAAATTTTAGATTGCTACACATATTTAAAGAAAAAAAAAAACGCAAACTACGAAATTATTCTGACCACACAATTTGATCCTGAGTTAAAAACCAATTCCTGTAGCAGTATCAAAAAGAGGCAGAATTAATAAATAGAGGCAAGCAGATTGCGTAGGTTGAAAAAAAATCTCTAAAAAAAAAAAAGTATTCACACCTTTATCTTTTTGCTGGCTTAATCACAGGATGAAAACCTCACACCTCACAGTCAGCTCGTGGCTTGGACACTTTTCAGATGGGCGGTTTCCGCATGGAATGACGGGAAGGAGGGCAGGTCCAACCCCCTAACGCCATGCGCTACAATATTAAAACCATGTTCTGGTCGTTTCCTCACGACGTCTAAAAATGTTACGTTACAGTATTGCATAATGCCTTTATTTATCTTTTGTACTGTGGACACACGTCTAACAGATGCTGCAGGATTATGAAGCACTGGAACACAGAGACTACCAGGAATGCCCCTCCAAAACCCCCTCACCGATAGCCTTATCAATGTTACGGGTTACCCCTACATTTATACACTTTGCCTTATATAGCTGCTTTCTCTTCCGCCCCTGACATTCTCAGGATCACCAAATGGCAGGTCAGGTTGAGAACAGATGCAAGGCTGTAAAACAGAGCACCACCAGATTAATAACCTGTCTCTCTTGACAATATCATTCCTAAAAGTCCCTTCACCAACCTGCAAAAAAAAGGCATCGTGCCTAAATTCTACATATTAGTGTAACCGGAGCGTTTAGAGAAGTTTAGATAAAGTGCGGTCACGTGCCGGTTAGCCTCTGCTGACGTGGATGTGGGGAGGGGTGTGGCAAGTATTCAGGGTCAATTGGGGCTAATTAGAGCTGCACTGGGGATGGGTTTATAGGTAGGACGCGGTGGTTATGCGGGGTCCAGTGCAGTTATCGTGGCTGATGCTGCGTTTGTCCATTGGTCCGGTCTGCGTTTAGCCACTGCCGTCCCCCCTCCCCGCGCAATGGTACTGGTAGGCATGTGCCGTTCGGTGTTATATCTAGTTTGTGGTTTTACGTTTTAATTCCTGTGTTTTTGTATGTTTGTAGTGGACCGGGGGTAAGGTGGGTGGTTAGCCTGGTGTTTTCATTATGGCTGGCTAAGCGGTAGCTACAGGTTCTGGTAGGTATAAGGTCGACAGGAGTTTTAATGACTGAGCTATGACAGCAGGGTTGATTGGTTTGTGTTTTTGTATTGTTTTATTTGTAGGTAGCCTCCCCCTTTCGTGGCTTGTAGTGGGTCGGGCTGCTGTCTTGTCTGTCTTTAGATTATAGTAGTTGGTGTGTTCTTTTCTTTTCTTTATTATCATGTTTGGTTTGATACGAGTTTGTCTGTGTGCGTGAGTAAGCCCCGGTGCCTAGCATTACGTGGTTTGCGGTTGGTTATGGGGTGGGTCTTGTCTTTGGTTTGGTTTGTTTTTTTTTATTAGTTTTGCTGTGTTTGTTTTGTTTCGTTGTAAATGCGGGGCTGTGTGATGTTTGGGGCTGTGATTTTGTGTTGTATTATGTAATTGTGGTTTGGTTATTGTCACTGTTTACTGTTTCTAACTTCTGGTTGATCCTGTTGTGTTGAGGTGAATAAAAGTGTAATTCCCTGAGTACTATTTCCTTGTTTTTTGCTCTCCCAGTGACGAGGTAGTCTGTGTCCCTGGGCAGTAGGACCTGGGGTGGCGTAGTCAGGCTACTGTGGTTTGTTTGGGCCTTTCCCCTTGCAACTCCTGCCACATTAGCAACAATTATTAGCAACGTGCTATGCCCATTCTTTGTTCTTTATTGGATTTTTTTTGTTTATTGATGCTACCGTCCCCACGACCCGACCCGGAAAAGCGGTAGGAGATGGATGGATGGATAGATGATGCTGCTGTTCATTTTTTTTTTTAATTGTAATGCAATATTATTAATTTGTTTAGCAGATGCTTCTATCCAAAGCAGCATACGGAAGGCCAGGGGTGTTCCCAAAGCGGGGGTCGTGAAATGATTGCCAGGGTATGTTACTGAACATTTAAAACTGAAAGGCAATCTTGCGAGGGGACCCCGCCCCCATAAATTGGTGGTTGCGAGTATCTGACACTTATTTTGGGTATTTTGCGCTGAAAGGTTTTGAGTACGCATGTAGTACAAGTTTACCCGCCCGTGGAGCAATTTGTGCTTAAGGGTCCCAAAGGTGAAGCCTCTTTGGCAACCACATCATTTGAAGCAACGATCCTCTGATCACTACGACAGCGTCCTAACCCAATGAGTAAAACGCCACGCCTAAATAGAAAGTAACCGACGAGGATGGGATTCGAACCCACGCGTGCAGAGCACAATGGATTAGCAGTCCATCGCCTTAACCACTCGGCCACCTCGTCTTGCTATAAATAAGGGGTACCATGAAATCATATAAATTTGGTTTATAAGAATACCACGTAGGTATAACGCGTCTCTGCATAGCTACTCAAGTGAAATCATTTTACGGATTTTAATTTTAGGTATTACGGCCATCTAGTGGTCAAATATAAAAATCAAGTGTTTCCCCTCGCTGAGAAGAACAGCAAACTGAATGGTTTACCTAGGCACTTATCTACTGATCTGGTAAACAAAGGACCCAGGAGGGGAAAAAAATTTATGGAATTAACATCCGCTGGCTCATCAGGAGAATGACTGGGATTCTGGTCAATATCAGTGTTATACTTGTAAGGGGGAAAAAAAAAAAAAAATTCATTTGTTACATATTGCCACTACCCGGTACATTTTTTTTTTAAATATGATCGTTAAACAGACGAGGTGATAATTAAAGTGGCTAGCTTAAGAAGAATACGACTTCATAGTCATGTTTACAGGTTACATTATTTGATATAGGGCTTCTGGGGAAAAAATATCAAGAAATAAATGGTATCTCCGCTCTCACTATTTATCTGAACACACAAATTTAACATTGTACGACATTAAAAAAGGAATAGGCTAACTGTACCACGTATCACTTTAAAAGGGACGATAGTTAATATCCTGCCCTTTCTGCGTTCATTGATGCTACCGGACCTTTTAATGTTGTGTTATGGTTCCGCAGAGTGCATTAAAACCATGACAGACAACTGCAATAAAACACTACTTTTCATGCCTCCGACCACACGAAACTTTATCGATCAATATTTGTTGTTGCCAGTCTCCATTGGTAAGTTTATTGGGCTGTGTTAACAATTGGGTTGAATTATTATTATTATTATTATTATTATTATTATTGTTTATTATAAATATCCACACGGGGGCGCCTATTTCCCACTTGGTTTAATATAAATGTCAGTTTCCGCCTGACTTAATGTAGCCTATACCTGCCGACGGCAAATCGACGACGCTAAGATGCAGAAAGGTGGCACGACAGTAGCCTCTGGATAACATACTGATTTAACTTAATTGGCTATTATTCATATTAGGCGAATCGACGAAATTAGGTGGTTATGGGTGGACGGTGTTCCCAATATCTAACTATAGAATTCCTCAAGCAGTGTAATGTAATTGTTCACTTGATAGAATGTCACATTAACGATTTGGTTGTTACTTTATTATGGGATTATTGGATTCCAGAAGAAGGTGTCACTGAAAATACACTTAGGAATTTATCTGCCTGGCAGTGAGAGCCAACCGCTATGTGTCGTAATAGCTCTTAAATCGTCCACTTTGAATAAGGAGTGTTCATCAACTATAAATAAATCGTTCGAGGAGCATTGGATTATGTCCATAATTAACTCTTAACAATCAGCATATTTAAATTCGGTAAATGGTCCAATGAGTCATTTAAGACTTTAACACTTGAGTAAATGCATCCTTACGTGCACAATCCTTATTTACCTAAATGAATTTAAGTCTGTGTGAAATATTGGCCCAGACATCAGTAATTTATATTCAGTCGTCGATTCATCTCACACGAATGACGCTGTTAGGCTATGTAAAGTAAATTTGGTAAATAGCTATCTGTGCCTGTGATCAGATTGGCCACCTGCTTCGTTCTTCTACCCTACGGTGTGAAAATGTCTTTCATTTAAAAACACGAAAGCATTTCTCCTTTTGGCAATTTTACGCCGACTGTGAGCTCAGGTGTGTTTGCACCAACTTCCTATCTTAACCAGCATTTTGGAGCCCATCCCACTGCAGTCTCCCTGCCACCATGGTATCAAGTTCACATCCTTCCCGACAAAAATAGCCGATGCAAATCAGTCGTTTGAAACTGAAGAATTTAATCGTTGCATTTTGCAAAACCACAAGGACAGATAAAATGTGCCATTGACCAAAATTTTTGCTTATACCCATGAATTGACGTTAAATCAATCAATTAATTAATTCTGCGTTTTACGCAAAATAATCCACTATACATTTAGTATAGTCGTTTTTAAAGCATGTTGTATTGATGAGGTTTTGTTTACAGCTCTCACTCTCTCTTACAAGCCTTTTCACTGTACTGGCATCACTGAACGTTGCTGTACTCATATTCCCGGCTGCGTTGAGAAGGCAAGGCGCACAGACAAGGTCATGCACCCCTCCCAGCGGAGATGAGGAGGACGGAGAAACATCTCACATAAGCCCTGTGGAGGCTGTTACCTGCAGAGGATTACAATACCCGCGCCATGCCACTGATAAGTGAATGGATCTAAAATCGTATCCTTTCCACATCGACGGGTAGGGTGTATAAACGGCGCTACTGTCCCACGTCGTCAGTCATTACATCATAAATCATTGATGACTTTTCGGTCCAGGCTGTGACTGAGGGTGTTTTTTTATGATCGTTTTCATAGTCGATGGGTAAAGATTGCTGAGACGCCAGCGCCCTCCCTGATGGTCCATCTCGACAACCATTTTCTTTCCAGCGACTTGCACCGTAAAGTCGTGCAGGATGTTTGGACCGAGTGCATTTTTCGGGTTTGCATTTAAGTCACACGTAGCCATGCAGCAAATTCAGATCGACCCAGAGACACCGGAGAGCAGCCGGATCCTGGCGAGCCGTCGACCGGCTACGTTTGAGCGTTTGTGGTTTGCTTAGGGGAGGGCTGGCTTGGATGATGACCGGCGTGTTTTTGTTATTTTGCGATTCGGACCTGGTTCCTCTTGAGGTGATCCATGCCCCATCGTTTCCAGCACCATCACCATGTCCCCAGCGTCAGCTGCAACAGCCAGTGAAAGCAGCACCACCACGGTTCCCGAGGAGGATGCGGACAGCCCCCGGGAGGAGGTAAGAGCAAACCCCGCACCTACAGCCCCGCGTCCCATTTCCTGCCGGGCGACGCGTAAAGCCTCAAGTTGAAATAGAAACTGGAAGCTACTCTAAGCCCACAATCACACACTTAAACGTTAATCGTTAAATCTAATGAGTGATCAATCAAGCGCTGCGTGTGCGTGTTCACTGTAGTTGCGATCAAAACGGCCCTGTCTGTTAATCATAGGGCATGGGCAAGGTAAACAAAGGTTGTGAGATGCCGTGGAAGTACGTGTGTGTGAGACGATGTTATGTGGTTTACAATTTCTGAGGCTAAAGCCAGTGAAATGCACGACACTGAATACGCTGGTTCTTCTAAAAAGGGTAAGGGACAGCCTAATAACGACATTAATGTGAGCAATGCCACTGGAGCTTAACGTGGTTCGTCGTTAATCGGAATATGAGAGATGAAAATTGTGATTTAGTGCAAAATCGGGCTCTTTATTACTGCATTTCATTAGTCGTTATTTAAGTGGAAAGCTATAGGTTTTGACTTGCAAAACGTCCCGTAATATAAGAATGTTGTTTATCGCACATGTCACTTATCTCACCGTTAGTGGGGTGCGGCATTCACATATTCAACATATTCAAATGAGACATGTGACACAGACAGACAAAAATGTCCTGCCGGGCATCTGCATGTCAAACACAGGGCACCGTACATCTGTCCGGGCAGGTGACAAAAGCTCGTCGTTTTTAAAAAAGCCTGTCTGGAATTTCAACATCTAAATCATAACATTCATTTATGACATGCTGGATATTAAGCACTCAAAATAAATTTTGTTCCAAGTTAGGAATCATCGTAGTTACAATGATCTGGCAACTGCACTAAATTGCATAATTTTATCAAAACATTTTACCTGGCCCTGTATCTAAATGGGTAAGAAATCCAAATTATAGCATTTTGTCATGGGCAGACCACGAAATCCAGCATGTTGTCAGAAAATAGCACAAAGACTCCTAAAATAGCGCAGCGACGTCCCCTCCTTTGGAGGTGAGGCAGGCTGATAACTGCATGGAGATGTGGTATTATTCAACATTTCAGCCACAGGAAACTGTACATTAGGGTGTAAATCATAAGCTGGACTCCCAAGTCTTTCCCCACTCCGTTCCTTGATTACAGCTTTTTCAGGTTAACACTAAAGACGTCGTCTGTGAAAGACTGCACACATGGTGCAACATGACAATACGAATGCTTGTTCACCATCATCAAATAAGATCGTTGAGTCCATTTCCAGAGGCTAATAACGTCGCCTTGTGTCACATGCGAAGCACGTGTTCTGCTCTGAACATGCATATCACATACATATAACATGCCTTTCAATAGCCCGTAACAATTTACACTCAAGGGAAATCTACAGTACATTTATCATTAAGCACATACTTTATTACATTTTTATGATGATGATGATTGATGATGATGATAATTACAAAATGACAATTAATTATGCGGCCTCTATTTTTTCATTTGGGTGTTTCAATAAAAAGACTACCTAATCTATATATCACATTGTTTACTGTTTCATTTTAATACATTTATTTTAAAAGTTTCAAAATATAAAAAATTGTATTAAAAAAAATAGTATCTTTAAGTGGGAACAGCAGGGTAGCTCTGGTGTCTCACACCTCCAGTGTTGTGGGTTCTAATCCCGCCTCTGTTGTTTGTGTGTGGAATTGGCTTTTCCCCCCCATCTTGGGCAGGTTTTCCCTGTGCACTCTGGCTTCTTCCCGCACTCCAAAAACATGCGGTCAAGCTGATCAGTATCTCTGAATTACCCTTTGAGTGTGACTGTGTGAATGCTCACTGCGAGAGACTGCCATCCTGTCCAGGGTGTACCTCAGCCTCGTGCTCAGTACTGCCTGGGATAGACTCCAGCAACCCCTCCCCTCCCCTGTGACTGGTTGGGAAATGGATGGATAATATTTAAGTCATTTCTCTTTTGGAACATCTGAGACCCCATGCTAATTAGGCTATTATGTAGTGAAGCCAAAACACAGCGGACACTGTCTAAAGGCCACCCAGGCATCTGTACTTTGATTTCCACTGACTGCATAAGATATTTAGTTTAGCATAATAAACAAAATGAATTCCTTGGTACTTTCAGTATATATAAAAACTATTAAATTACTACCAAGGTTGGGGCATATGGACTCAGCAGAAAAACTTTGAATTAGGGAAGTTAACCGTTAGTTACTTTGACAGTAACTAAAGGTTTAGCGACAGCCCTCCTGTTTTCCTTTTTTTTTGGGGGGGGGGGGGGGTTCTATGGTTCATCAGATAGCCTTAGCACCATGTCCATTCCTGAAGTAACACTGTGTATGAAGGCAGTGGCTCCAGTAGCAGGCAGCTTTGGACAGACCAGGCCAGTAGCGAGACAAAAGCCCTACCAGTAGGTCCCTCCCTGCATATGTTGTTGGGGGGGGGGGGCAGTGCACATTTATCCTTCATGCACAACATTGTTTCATCTTGAGTTCACGTATTAGTCACTTTTTGCAACATTTTTGCAGTGGAGATTTTTTTTTTTTTTGAGAGTTTCCATCTGCAATATGGCTTATGGGGCTGTCGCAGTGCCTGGGCCTCTGGGCTGTGCCCTGCCCCTCCCTCCAGGCTTGGGCCCCCAGCTAACTGCCGTATAACACACTCCGAACCACACAGTCATTGAAGTACCTGTGGATCCACGACAAGATTAAAGATCCAGCTCAATTCTCGCTTTATACTGGGAGTCAATTCTAATGGTCGTGGCCATGGAGCCTTAAGTAAGGAATTATGAATGAAATGTATATGAAAAACAACAACAGTAATAATACCAGTAAGAACAGCCATTACAGTAACTATAACAAATGATAATAGTGAAGTGATTAATTGTTGACATGCCACAATACACAACAATGAAATGCATCCTCTGCATTTAACCAACATGTGACATTGCTAAATAGCAGTGGGCAGCTAATTCAGCACCCAGGAAACGGTGCTGGGGAGGGAGGAGGGCTGCCTTGCTAATCGGGGCTTCAAACCAGCAACCTTCCAATCAAAAATGCGCTTCCCTAACCACTAGAGTGCCACTGCCCCACTCGTATAGCCTTGAGACAAAAGGTGACCATACTGCCACCCCGATTTTTTGGTGGTACTGCATCTCACGTATGCGTAGCGATAATTCCTCACGATGCACGGAATCGATGCATAAAACGCGTGGAGGTCATAAAACACACGCATACACGTTGTGAGCACTGAGTATAAAGAAGGCTGCATCATTTCACAGAGACTGATAGGATGATCAGTACTATAATAGTGATCAGTACTATAATAATAATTGGTTATAATTATTTTTGATAGCATTATTAAGATTATTTATGCTATTCTTATAACTTTTTAAAAGGAGGTTTGTGTTGTGCTTTTTCATCTGTATTTTGCTTGAAAACATCTCCTGGATGTCTGCGTGCCACAGGGAGACAGACGTGCACATTTCCCACCGCGCCATGTGAGGAGGAGCACGTGGCCACCAGTGTTCATGTATAAGATATGAGGGCGCGGAGTCAAATTAATGCTTAATATTTAATAGGAAGGAAGTAGTTGTCACCTTTGGCGCCTCACAGTGGCAGTCGCGTGCAAAGCCGCGGCCCTCGCCACGCTCTGCTAATTATTACTTAAGCTGCACGGTGACAGGAGGTGAAGGAGCAGCACAAAAATAACATCGAGGGCCTTCACTTATGGAAAGCGTTCAGCCTAAATATAATCATCATCATTTATAAAAGACGCAATATACAATTAAGAGGTAGACATTAATTAGCGACTGACAGTCCCCTTCCCTGAGGCAGCGGTTCTTTCAGCAGTAAGAGGGAATCGCACCTTCCCCATTACAACCTCAGCTTCATCTGAATGATGTCGAGTCACATCCCATTTGTGTTTCGCAAATTTCATCGCCAGGAACGCTTAAGATTCGCTTAGTTGCCGTACAGTCGAGACGAGCTAAACGAGCTGCCTGGGCTTCTTGCATCTCCGAGTGACCACTAACGCTCTCGTTTGCTGTCTGTTATGCCCCTTCCCCCCCTTCCCCCGCCCCTCGCTGAGCAGCAGCGGCCTCTGAAACAGTCCCTGAGCAAGGCACTGTGCCGGGAGTCACACTGGAAATGTCTGCTGCTCTCCATGCTCATGTACAGCTGCGTGGGAGCCATGACATGGTGTCACGTGACAAAGGTGACCCGGCTCACCTTTGACAGCGCCTACAAGGGCAAGTCCATGATGTACCACGACAGCCCCTGCTCCAACGGCTACATCTACATCCCGCTGGCCTTCCTAGTGATGCTCTACGTGGTCTACCTGGTGGAGTGCTGGCACTGTTACACCAGGAACGAGCTGCAGTACAAGGTGGACGTGTCGAGCGTGTGCGAGCGCATCCAGCGCATGCGGCAGGCCACGCCCTGCATCTGGTGGAAGGCCATCAGCTACCACTACGTGCGACGGACGCGGCAGGTCACGCGCTACCGCAACGGTGACGCCTACACCACCACGCAGGTGTACCACGAGCGCGTCAACACCCACGTGGCCGAGGCCGAGTTTGATTACGGCAACTGCGGCGTCAAGGACATCTCCAAACAGCTGCTGGGCCTGGACAGCTTCCCCGTCACCAAGCTGCGCTTCACCAAGTGCTTCAGCTTCGCCAACGTTGAGTCGGAAAACTCATACCTGACGCAGCGGGCCCGGTTCTTCACAGAGAACGAGGGCCTGGATGACTATATGGAGGCCCGGGAGGGCATGCACCTCAAGAACGTCGACTTTAAGGAGTACGTGCTGGCATTCTCGGACCCTGACCACCTGCCGTGGTACGTGTCGCACTGCGTGTTCTGGGCGGCCGCCTTCCTCACGCTCTCCTGGCCGCTGCGGGTGCTGACGGAGTACCGCACGGCCTACGTGCACTACCACGTGGAGAAGTTGTTTGGCTTCGACTACGTGCCCGTGACGCCGTCCGATGAGCGGCCCTTCTGCCGCCGCATCCCCCGCGTCAATACGGTGGACAGCACCGAGTTGGAGTGGCACATCCGCTCCAACCAGCAGCTGGTGCCTAGCTACTCAGAGGCCATGCTCATGGACTTGGCGCAGCTGTCCAACTGCAACGGCTACACCGTCTGCGGCTACCGGCAGAACTGCGAGCGCTGCCACCGCACCATCAGCAGCTCCTCCATCTTCTCGCGAAGCGCGCTCAGCATCTGCCACGGCAGCCCGCGCCTGCCATTCAGCGCCAGCCGCTTCTCGCTCGGCCGGCTCTACGGCTCGCGCCGCAGCTGCTTCTGGCGCAGCCAGAGCGGCAGCCTCAACGAGCAGGGCTGCCCCGCCGAGAGCAGCCGCTGCCTGTCAGGCCGGGCCGCCGGCGAGGAGAGCCCACCCGCTTACCAGGACGCGCTCTTCTTCCCCGTGCTTATCGTGCACCGTGACGAGGGCTGCCTGAACCATAACCACCGGTCACTGCACCGCAATGGCTCCTGCGTGGAGACCTCCTTGTGACGGTTGGGATTTCAGGAAGGAGCAGTATTAGGGGGGAGGGGACGTCAACCCGGAATGTCTCCTAGGGCACGAAGCATTGAAGTCGAGCCTTCCCATCCTTGAGATGTTTTCCCATAAGTGTCGTCTTAGACGCCTGTGGGATGATTCAGCCTTTGGGGTCACTCATAACTCACTCGATCATTGCTCATCCATGACTGTGTCCTCCCAGGATCGCTCTGTTTAACCAGAACCCTGACTGACAGCGAAGGACAGGTGTCAGGTTTAATCTCACAATGCATTAAACAGAAACTAAACCTACTTGGGAAGGTAAAGGGTTAAACGCCAACATGAACTTGTGGAATTAAAGGCAATAATCTTTAAAAACAATGCACTGGAACAAAGATTAATTTAGGGATTCAGTCGCTGAATTTGACTCTTTTCTAATAAAGGTTCAGCGAGGGAATACAATGTTTACGATCATCAACGAACAAATTAACTGGGAATGAAGTCAGAGGTCAAATTGGGCAGAGGTCTCCACTACAAAGGACTGCAACCGCACAGCTGTTTTTTCAGCGCCGTAAGCATCGCACGGTCATGTGACCATGCTTTGGATCGTCATGTGTCCACAAGCTTGCTCACTTTCTTCGATAATGTACCGCCAGCGGCTCGCCGTTAACGCAATGTCGCAGACCAGCATAAGAAGTCTGTTGGGTGACGGTAATGATCGTAACAGATGAATTAGCACAGCTAGCCACGTTACATATCCTCCGTCCTGCTACGGTATAACATCTTGCCATCGGCTCCCCCTCTGCACAAAATCACACTTTAGGACTTTGGGTTCCTACGCCGCTATTAGGTTTCCGTCTTTTGTTTTTTTAAAGTGTGTTGTTACTTGTGGAAATTGTAGCCTCTTGCGGCTGGTGACCCTTCGCTAAAGATTGCTTAGGAAGCGATCAGACCGTCCACGGTTACAGCCTACCAATGATCTGAAAAATAATCGACCTCTGGATATTTATTTAAAAAAAATCATATTTTTGACTTTTGAAATTATTTTTTTTAGCAGATTTGAGACAATATTATGAAGTTGTTTTTGTAAATTGCTTCTGCTAACTAGTTATTTTCACCAATAGCAAAGTTGGTTTTGCGAGTGCTTTAAACAATGGTGGAATTTTTTTTTTTTTTTTTTTTTTTTTGTTGTGTCAAGTGGGTGTCTGTCAGTTTTTCAGGAACCTGTCTGGAGCCAATCACACCCCTCAATGTGATCATGTGATGCCACTTTCTCTTTTAAGGGCATACAGAGTCTAAAAGGTAACAGGAGACATCAAAAGTGTCACACTAACTCCGGAAGTAACTGAACGTAGGGAATGTAAAATATGAAGACATGCAGTCATGTTTCTTATCCTTCCTGCCCATCTATTTATAGCACTCTGCTTGGTACGGTGAATTATTTAGTAAGGGACGCCAAAGGACACAAAAACTTCAAAGAGAATTCCTGGTGATGCGGAATGTTTGCTTTCTCCATGAACGCGGCCACTTCCATAAAGGAAGGCTCTGGCACGGGTCTTGATATATTTTTTAAAAAGCCCTCTGACAATAACAAAGGTTTTTAGCAATGAATTACTAACAACAACAGCAACTGTTACGACAAATGTCAAGCTAATTAGTGGTTCGGTCCACAGCACTACAGGACTGATGTTTACAAACCGAGAAAGAATCCAAACGTTTGCTGTTCTTTTTAAAACTGTTTTCTGTCCTCAGACATGACATTCACCATCAACGCGATTAACCAGGCTGTGTCATGCGCTCGACCCATTATAGAGCTTCATTCCTCCTTTTGTCTGCTACCTCGTTTCAGTCACTGAAGTGCCTGGGGGCCTCATCGAACAAATGCTCAGCTGCGAACGCATTTGACCAGCTTGTAAGTCAGCCGTACTGCAGTTAAATAAAAGCTTGGGCGTCATGGAGGAACTGAAAGTTTGATGCAGCCTAAAAATACAATCGACTGAATCAGTTAAAAAAAGCAAACTTCCAAAATGTACATTTCATATCAGTACCACTTGATGCCCATGTGGTTCCTATGTGGCCACCAATGTCGCCTAAGGAGTTGATGGCACTGCTTCATACAATTTTTATTGAATCATCAAAGACAAACTTCACCACTTTCCCACCTAGCACAAGCCCTCCTGAGCCTGTCAACTGTCATATTCACAAGTGTGTTGAATCGACACCCCCAAGCAGTGATTGCTAGAAACTCACCCCCAGAAACATCTGGACATTCAATTTTAATTCATTTAGTTCATTTAAAGCCAATAATTTTGGTAGCTGAATCCATGACCAATTCATACATTTTCACAGTAAAAAGAAACCTCCATAACTCAGTTCTGTCACCGTACATACCCCGGTAACCTCAGGAATGAACCAGGTTGTATAGGAATGTATAGATTTCAAAGGATTTTTAATCATTTATTTTCCTGACTGTTTTCCCAAACCTGACGAGTGTGTTCGTTATGAATTTCCCAGTGAATTTAGCTGTGTGTGACCTGTCTTTGAGTTTGTATACTTTGAGATATTTTCAAGTCCACTTTTCAGACTGATTATAAGAATATCTGAAGGTAAATACTGTTTTTTTCTGCTCCCTTTTTTCCAGCGCTGTAACCCTGTAATTGTGATGTGATCGTACAAACTATCAAAACCCACATCTACATGTATCTGAAACGCATCAAAGCGGTCAGTGAGAGGACTGAGGCACTCAGTACCTGGTCATTTTTTTTACGGTGCATAACTATGCAAGAGTCTCAGGAGTTCAGCCAAGAAACCGCCTCACCCATCGCGTTCCTGCCCGACGGTCTTTTACGTTTACAGTGTATATGCTTCAGTCTGTCCTGTAACAGACTCTAATACCTTCTGAATAAATGACCTTTCGATTGACTTTTATGATGCAAAACTCAGGGGACCCAAAGCTCCTCTGCTGCTGACATCATACCAATCAAACTACAGGAGGTCTAGAGCTTTCCGTGAGCTAAAGAATGTCACGCACCGATCATGCAGAGTCTTCGATTAACTACACGCCTTGGGCATATCAGACACACGAGTATGCTGATTTACCACTCAGAGTTAGGAAACTGCGCAACCATTAAATGATATCCAATGAGAAAGAAAAGGCCCCTCCCCCTATGTGGAGCAATAAATATTCCTCCCCCTGGAGGATGTAATATTACAGCCCTCCTGGTCCTTAGTTCTTATTTATTTGATGACGCATTAGTAAAAGTGATTTGTTTTTAATTGGGGTCCCGGGTTTAAGAAAAATGGCTCTAATGAAGTAGTTAATCCAAAACGTCGAAATAAAATTATGTCCAAATGCCGTTGTGATTAAACGAAATTGAGAAAGTAACAAATAACAGTATATTTCACACATTTATTTAACGAGTGAAGAGGCTGAAAACGATGACTGTTAACACTCATGTTGCTGTCAGAGGTTTGCAAAAACTAATTTCTTTGTGTTTTATATAATGCCATGATGTGGGACTTATTTGGAAAAGCTGCATTTTCCCCCCTGTAAATAATCTGGGGATGCAGGAACAGACGGGGCAGCAGACTTTTTATGTGCTGGTGAATGTCTCACCTGCGCAATGGAGTGCTGCCTTTACTCATGAGCCGTGGGTATCTGGTTTATTCAAGCAGTTTGTATCCATGTACATCTGAAAAGTCTCCAAGAATTTTTCCAAAAAGAGAAAATACTGTACATGTACATAACATAATTCAGCTGTATACATCTGGTGCTTTATAATCTGAATATATATACACGGGACAGCACTGTTCGGTTTCAGCATTGCTTATCATGTTCCCATGAAGGTGCACTCTTCATACTCGTCGCTGGAGCAGACGGATTGTAAGAATGTTCGTGTTGCACTGGGAACTTTTAACCACTATGATCAAATGTTGTACGGAGGGGATTGTGACCATGGAATGTTCTGGAATCATGTTATACGTGTTGTATGGAACAGATTGGGACCATGGAATGTTCTGGAATCATGTTGCGTGGAGGGGGATTGTGACCGTGGAATGTTATGGGACCATGTTGTACATGTTGTTCAAAGGGGAATGTGACTGTGGAATGTTCCAGAACCACACCTGCCACTCTGTAAACGTTATCCAGTTAGACAGTTGGGGGACCCTCGCCTGAGAACAGTCGGCCTGTGACTCTTAAATTACTTTAATAAACATGATCTCAGTGAACCGTGATAGGTTAGCCATATTCATAGCAGTGTGTAAAAGTATAATTACATTCAACAAAATGCCACAATATCCAACTCAAGTTCTCCAAATACATTTTTGGTATAAGTGTACAGAAGATCAATGTTTTACCTGAAACTGCAGGAGTCAGAACATATTTTATACTCTGTAGATGAGGTAACTCGCTAGTCTGGTGTGTAATGATCCTACAGTTATAAATGTAAAAGACTGGAAAACCTAATCTTTATGTATATTACCACTCTCACAATGTTGCCTTTATGTTGCATATATACAGTTACGAAGATTAAGAACCAAATCTGTGTACCAACATTACAAAAAGGCTGAATAAAACATCACGTTTTCAGTTGGAATGTGTCAAACGTATCGTTTCACTGTGTTATGTACTTGTTTTTGCGTGTCCAGTTTTACTTGACAATATCTCAGCCGATAGCACTTTCCGACACATCTGATATCTATTATCAGTTCATTTCCTTCATACAAACATTTACTGCTGTTGAAGACTTTAAATTGACAATTAATAAACCAGGAACCTCTGAAATTAGCTAAAGACATTATGCTAACATACAAATAACTGACAGTAATTAAGATATACTGTATGTAATAGCTAATGTACTAAGCAGACATAATGTGATATTTATCTTGTTCAATCCCAGCTTGGACACTTGTACTCTGTATTCATTCACCTACATTTTACTGTGAGAATGAAAGTTGTACAAAATCTATTGGTTCTGAGATAAAGGGACCTCAGCAGGGGTCCCTGGAAAAGCCGGACTCCGGATCCTCGTCATCCTGGCTCTCACCTGGTTTTCCTGCAGGATTTGTTTGACGTGACCCTCACTCTCCAGGCTGACCTCAGTCAGGCGAAGGTCACACGCCAAAACGGTGCCGTTACACATCAGGCCTTGTTCAAGGGCTTTCCCTCCCTCCTTAAAAACAAACCCGCAAGAGACAAACATACATCAGTGTCACTGAAGACTATAAACCTACAGCTTTGAACGAAACGGATCTATAAACAGTCTCAGCAGTCAGCTATATGAGAGACAAATAATCTTTTATTTTTATGCTATCCGTTGAAGCTGTGAAACACTTGATACGGATACTTGTAAGGTAATAAAGAATTTGTACAATAACTCATATTAATTACACAAAGGCTTCAGAGTCGCTGGGAGTCTATATTTAGTTGTCACAAAAATAAACGAAGAAATCTTTGAAAAACTAGCTAATAATTTACCCTTAACTAGCATTCACAGCCAATAAGCTCTCTGGGGAAATCCACAAAATAGTAAATGTGGATGCAGTTAATATGCACTCTTTGTGTCTGTTTGAATGAGATGTTCTGGTATCCTGATGTGGGGGCTTAATGGCAACTTGCTGTTTCACACTTTCCAGTGGGAACTTTCTGGACTCTCCACCCTCCTAATCAGAGAGTTACAGTCAGTTTTCAGGTTTGAAACTAAGAGGGAATGGTCCTCAGTTTAGCAATGTTCAAATGTGCTAAGCTTAGTGCTTCGGCTGACACAAGATACATAGAAGAAATTGTGCTGCAGGGATTCTCAAAGTCCAGACCGCGTCCCAGATCTGGACCGAACCGCAAGTTAATCTGGACCCAGCCAATAATGCATCTTATGAATCAATATGGTTAACGTCAAAAGGCTTAACATGATTTGAAGTACAAAAATACAATGTAAAACCACTGAATTTCACACACGCTTAACTCCTCATTACCCCTCTTAAAATGTTATATTAGCATAGGTGTCAAGTTTCATGTGTTACCTGCGAGACCCACTGCTTTGCATTGATTGTGATGAGCTTAAGCCAGACCCCCTTGCCAGCCACTGGATCTGAACCAGCAACCTTCTGATCACTGGCACAATATTTCAACCGGCTGAGCAATACATCACCTGAGGTTTCAATGCTTCATAGTTCCACCCAGTATTTTGCATACACATTACAGGGCACATTACCTCACACACACACACACACACACACACACACACATTCACACACGCACATGTAGGGTAAACATATCCTTATGGGGACCGATCATTCATTTCAATGGGAAAAATGCTAACGCTAACTATGACAACCTTAACCCCTACCCTGCCCTAACCATAACCATAAGTAACCAAACAAAATACAACCGTTTTTGAATTTTTAGTTTTTTCATAGCAGTCACCGATTTTTATAAAATAGAGTTTTCCCTTATGGGGACCAGGAAACCGGTCCCCATAAGGGAAAAAAAACGGATATTTATCACGTTATGGGGACATTGTGTCCCCATAAGGATAGGTCAACCTCCTCGCACACACACACATGCACACACATTAAAGTACTCCTAACCCTGGTACTTACCACCCCAAGCCTGTTGCAGGAAAGATTGACAGTTTCCAAGATGCTGTTTTGAACAAAGACCTGTGACAGGACTGTAGCTGTGGCCTCAGTCAGCTGGTTGCTTCCCAGGTGTAAGAACTCCAGAGTCCTGTTCGATAAGAGAGCTTGAGTGATGGCCCGCCCCCCCTCATCCCTGAGCCGGTTGAGCCTGAGATTGAGATGCGTCAGCACGCCATTGGCGAGCAGCGCGTGGCCTATGGCCTGGCCGCCCGCACCGCACACTGCATTGTCGCATAAGTTCAGCCTCTCTAGCTTGCTCCGGTTCAGTAGTTTGCCCACAGCCCGGGCCCCCCCGTCTCCAATCAGGTTGTGGGACAGGTCGAGCTCCCGCAAGGAAGGGTGGTCCAGCAAGCATTTCACGAGCAAGCGGCACTTCTCGTCGTCCACTTTGCTCTGGTGGATTCTGAACACCTTTAGACAGACAGACAAATAGTATTGTACTGTGGGTTGTACAGTGAATGAATGAATGCTTTGTACTGTTTAAAAATGAATGACATTTGAAAGCAGACCATGAACCTGACAGAAAAGTGATGTCACGTGGAGGCAGACTTCCTTCTGCAATGAATTATTTTACAGCAAACTGCATCCCCAGACAATAGAGCACAAGGATTCTTCTGTTGTTCGTTCTGTTGTTAATGGACAATGATGTGACACTATAATTGGCCTGTGAATGTTTGCACATAGCCTATAAACCCCACACGGTGCAAGAAACACCAATCACATGGCGGGAAGCCCTCCTGCCAGCCACTGTGCCTCAGACCAGCTGCCTCACAATACTTGCAGTTCACTTAACCCCGATTACAGCCAGCTGGTCAGCATTAGCAGTCAGTTTTCAGCTTGAGTGTCAGGCTTGGCCCCTCCAGTGCTGAGTCGTGTTTATCGGGCTCGGGCTTGCTCCGTGCCAAAAGTGGGTCATCCCCATGCCTCGTGCTCGGAGTCTATCCCTGATAAATGATGATTCTTTGGTCCAGTCACTGTCATTGGCTGAAGGGCAAGATTATATTCCAGTAATGAGAATACAGTACAAATGCAAAGTTTATAGTATCCGATTCAAATTGATGAATCCCTAGTGTACAGGAGGATATATTACATCTGAAGGGCAGAGAGACTTTCCATTAATCTGAGCTCATGGATGGTGTGCCTATTGTACAACGGACCTAGTTCTACCTCCACAACTCTCAACAGTACAAGGCAATTTGTCTTTCATCAGATATGAAGGCTGCACTGCAAGCTGGCTGGCTAGTTTATTAGGGGTCCGGCTTGCAGCCTTGAATACCCCGTTACACCACCAGACCTACAGGCAGAAAATAAACCGAAATGAAAGTGAAACCACAAACGATTGTTCTGGAGCTAGGCGCTAAGGCTGGAAACCACTGAACCCCGCGTCTACGATCGGGCCCCCTCAACACGGCACATAATGAAAACAGCAGATAGATGGCATTAACTGATGTAGTTATTTGTAGTTATAACTTGAACACCAATGTTTCCCAATCCAGTCCAAGGGGACTTGCAGACAGTCCACATTTTTGCTCCCTCACAGATGTATCTAATAGCCCAGCAGAGAGCTGGGAGGGAGCAAAAACATGGACCTTCTGTGGGTCCCTGAGGACCGGGTTCGGAAACACCATTTTACGCAGCTCCTCACCTTCAAAGTAAGGCATGATTTTAAAGCCACGCCCAAAGCCTGACAGTCACGGTAGGTGAACTCGAACAAATTCCAGTTGAAGTTCATGCCACAGCCATGGACACCATAGACCAGGTGTAGCTCCTCCAACATTGGGAGCTTGTCCAGCAGGACCCCAAAATCGAAGTGGTCCAAAGAGGGCCCATTGAAGCTCGTGTCACTGCCTGAGTCCGAGCCGTCGTCCTCCTCTGGCTCCTTAATAGGGGGTAAAAGCTGGGAGATATTCAACCTCCGCACATAGTCTTTGCTCAGTGGGACTAGGCCCAACACCGACCTCAGATCAGTGACATCTGGCACAAAGAGCTCGATGGCATTCTCCAGGTGTCGCTCGAGGTACATGCGCTTCCAACTGTGGCCGTACGCGGAGACGTCGCACGCGGGCCATCGCTGGACACAGCACCTCTGCCAGTAGCCTTCATCATCGACCAGGCCGGCCGTCACATTCAGGGGCAGCTGTGGAGGCAGCATCTCCAGCACCGGTGCTCTGTGGCTGGGCAGAAGCTCGTTGAGGATGGGGTTACCTGCAGGGTGAAAGCGGAAAGAAGGAACCACCAAACATATCAAAAACCGCTGCTGCTATTGTGCTTGAAATCAACCATATTCTGCTTGACTTATAGACCTCAATAGCCTGGAATCCTGAGATTTTGCGGTTAATTTATATTTAATAATTTGTCATAAGGTTAGGTTACTTTATCTATCTATTCGTTTTCCTTAGCTGCTTCTCCTATGCAGGGTTGGAGGGTCCAGAGACTATTGTTGCAAGGCAAGAAAAAACCCTGGATGGGGCGCCAACCCACCACAAGGCACACACACTCACACTTATACTCACACTCACACTCACACTTATACTCACACTCACACTAACACAGCTACAGACAATCTGGCAACTCCAATTCACCTTAGGATGTTTTTGGACTGGGAACTATAAAAATTCCATGACAACGGGAGAACATGAAGACTGGAACCCAAGCTTCCCAATATATTAGCTTCCAGTTTACTTATAGTACTGTGCAAAAATCTTAGGCAGTCAAAAGAAACACATCAATTATATGCGCTACAAAGCTGTTTATCTGGGAAGCAAATCACTTTTGCTCAGAATAAAAAAACACAAATCAGCATTAGAACATATGAAAATTAAGAGTAACAAAAAAAAATGAGTAATAATTTCTTCTGTTAAAAGTTACTGATGTCTTGCAGGAGGGCTAGATGATCAGCGCTTCAGTTCCCAAACCTCTCCTCAGGGGCACCCCAGCCATTCCGCGTATTTATTCAATTTCACCACCAGCTCACTTAATTAATTAATTTACTTAGTTAAAAAAGTTAATGAGGTATTGATTAGCTGTATGAGGTGGGTGGATTTGATGGGTGTTTTGGATGATTGCTGCAAATACCGAGATGAGATTAGTAGAGGTTTTGAAGCTGACACATTGACAGGCATAACATCACAGTTTCACACTAACATGAAGATCATTTAAACATAATTTTCTTTGGCTGTCTGAGACTTTTGCACAGTACTGTGTATATCACTTAAATAGACTTTAAATATTATAAATTAAGTGATAACTCTTCATGGAATGCATGACTCTTTTGTTAATTTTATTGTTAATTAGAAATAAACATATTTTTAGTTTACATCCAACATGTTAAATCAATAGGCATACGTTCAAAGTTTGTCACTATGTGCTGCAGGCAGAGTTTTGTCAGGGGAGGGACTACAGTCAGGGACCAGGACGGGTCCTCGGCGATGATCCGCCGTGTTCTCCGTCCTGCCGCAGGGCTAAGCATGCCCACAGGTAGCGTCGTCCCCTGCAGCTGGTGCGCAGAATTCCCTGGTCCTTGCAATTCATCTGCCATCCCTTTCTGCAAAGATATGTCGCGGTGACACAGAGCAAATTTCTAAAATCCTCTACATAGAGCAATTCAGGTTGACCTTCCTATCACTGGTTTTGTATGTTGCATCAGAGTTTACTAAAACAATAAAAAATGTCTTATATATGTTGATTAAAGATTAATATCACAAATACTTCTCTGCACTGAATCTGCTGGTGTTATCACAGGTGATGTGGGCATACTTGGTGCCCTGGGTAAAATCTGGGGGAGGGGATGTGTGACAAAGGTTAAAATGTAAGATGCCACTCGGGCATGTGCCCATCTTGCCCTTCCCAGGATCCTCCACTGGGTGATATTCTGCCAAATACCTGACAGCCTTTATATGGTTCCTCTGTCTCATAGTGACCAAACGAGATCAGTCAGTCACAGGTAAGCGTGTTATGTTAGTGCTGCCATGGCCAGTGGCCATAGACGTAAATAAAATTATGGTATTTTCATTGTTAGTGAGCTTTAAGTGTAAAAACAGCCTCTTTTCATACTACCTGCCTGATACACACACTTATCTATCAATGACTGAGCCTATTTGAATTGTGAAAAAAAAACACAAATCAGACTGGTCAGGATGAGCCTGGCTGATTCTGTTTATATCGTTTGTACGTTTTTTTTTTATTATTCAGTCTATAAAATAAAAATGCAAACTATATTATCGGCTGATTTCTGCATAGGGGTGACGTCATCTGAATTCACGAATCGCGAGTAACAAAAATGCGACTGTTTACTAATGTACACGTTACTGCAGCGGATTCAACGGAATCCCTAATTTGTTAATTAGAAACTGTCTTTACCGCGGTGCAAAGGAGCTGAAACAGCTGTCTGCATAAATACACTCATTAAACTACGGCGAAGCTCACTTTGCAGCAGCCCATCAGTCTGTGTTTCTCGGGTAATTTCAATAAAATGTAATAATCAGTTTGAAATGCTGTCAACAAGCAAGACCTAGTTTCCTCACATGAAAAGGTGCGTTTTGCATTTTGAGAGGGTTACCATTGCGAAAACTAAAGACATTAAAAGCAGCAGACCCGAAAACAGTGCTACCTGTACTTCCGTGTAAATTTTGTGAAAATTTTACAGTGGATTTTAAAGAGAGAGGTAATGCTAAAGCCGCAGGGCAGAGGCGCACGTACCACACGCGTTTGTTGTCTTCTGTGGGGCTGAGCGTCTCCTTGACGACCGACTCTAAGGTCTGACCAATAGCAGCTCTTTGCGGGATTAATAGAGCTGCGGCCATGTGGGCAATGGCAACTGAAAATGTCCTGACACAAAAAACCGAGACAAGGCGCATTTGTATAATGCCATGAGGATAAAACATGATTCTGGGTACGTTTGAATCGGGAGAGGGTTACGGTTTAAGGATGCTGATACTGGGGGGGTGAATGCTGGACATTTGGCTGAGTGGTGTGATGGTACCGCGGGATCAGATTCTACTGCAGAAAAAGTCATGCTTTCAAAACACATATGTCACAGCCCTAAAAGCCTACCGGCCCAAGCTCAGTGAGTAACACTACACTCAAAAATATCGCCGGTGCAATGAAAAATGAATGAACTGAGACCGCGACTGAACTCATGCAATGAAGTTAGGGTGACCAGATGATCCATGTCAGGGAGGACACTTTGAGCCTGGACAGGATTTGTAAACTATACCTTTTCAATTAAAAGGACCAAAGATTTCACATAAGCACTGAGCACATAAGCACAATCAAGGAAACAAACCAAAGTACAAGAAAAGCTGAGCTATTCGGCCAAGCAGAGCTGTCTTTCAGTTTTAAAGTAGGCTACTTTGTTAGCTCAAAGTGTCCTTCCTGACATGGATTATCTGGTCACTATAATTAATTATGAAAAACTCTGTCCATATCATTACATATAAAGATCAGTGCAGTGTGTTGAGTTTGGCTTGTCACACGGCTCCGTGTCTGGTGCGATGATTTGGCCCAGCGACCGCGTCGCTTCCCTCCTTATTAGATACCCAGGATGCGTAATTGCGAAGTGCGCAGTAACTTGGCGGCGTGTTGCGTAGATCCTACCTTCCCTCTAATCTCCGCATCCTGAATACTTACTGCACTAATTGAATAAACGGTAAATGGGAAAAGACGGCCTGGCGCTCGCAGTTGCTAAGAATCACATGCACGTGTGTCTCTCTCTCCCTTTATCACACATCTGGCAGAGTAAATCTGATAGCAGCCTGCAGCGAGAGCAGGGCGAATGGGAAGGTTATTACGGGGAGCACACCCGATTATCTCCACGGCCGCATCGCCGCCATTATTATCTGTGCTCTGATAATTAGGATTTAAGTCATGGTTATAAATAGCAGTTTCGAGAGATAGGTACTGGGAACATTCACACAAAATCTTATAGGTAAGAAGGCAAATATTCTAACACAACACGGAAAACGATAAATTCTTATTCTAAATATGTTAACATATAGGCCTAGTGCGAAAAATAATTATCGAAACATATAAAAGAGCCTTCTAGAGGAAAGTACTTAATCATCTATAAATAGGACTCTGAATGTCAGTATGCCCTAAGGGCTTGCATTTTCTGGACAGAGGAACTGGGTTTAGGATGTCCAGAAGATCAGTTTACACAATTATTTAATTACACTTCAGGACAATTTCGGCTAATTTCTGCTAATGTGAATCCTAAATGCAATATGGAAAGACGGGTCTGTTCTTAAACCTCAATGGCGGGAATACAGCAAGCAAATGTGATGGAAAGAGATTATCCAATTCATTAATATAGGCATGGGGACTAAGACTCCCTTTACAGCGACTACTGAAATGTGATTTTACTGCAATCGCAGTGCTGGGTGGAGTATTTGAGGGCGCATGTGACACGGAATGCGGACACTTTACGTATGCATGCATTAGCAGGAAGAATGTGCATGTTAATCATATTTCAAAGAAGCAATGTTTAATGCCAACCGGTTAATATACAGTAGATGCGTTTGTCATTTTACAGAAAACCCGGGGAGCGTTTTATTTTGATGAATAGCTCGATTTGGGCAAAGGTGGTAAAATTCTGCTGAGAAAACCGGATTCTGCCTCCTGGACAGAAAACAGCAGAGGCAGGACCTTGTGTTGCGAGTGGCATCTTTAGGGACAGCTGGTTCCTTTTAAATAGGGCGGAGGGTTGTAAAAACCGGAATGCTGCGATGCCACGCAGCCTGGCAGCCCCTCCACGGAGTCAGCAAGCGTCTTTCTTCCCCCACCCTTCCTGTACCCTGGCTTCATTCACCGCGTCTAACGCCTAATTCAGACTGTCATGGCGTATTTCGACTCCATCCACGGTCGTAATGTTTGACGGGACATTTCCACAAAATGAGAAGCAACTATAAAAATCTGCTTCTATCAACAGCTCTAACGTAGGTATTGGGGTGTCAATCGATAGGTTGAAATTACGTGATGATAAATAGACTGGTCTTCGTTCAGTGATGATACGAGCAGATACACTTTAATTAGCTTTAATTAGAGCCGTGAATAATACAGTAGAGACTCGAGACCAGAGCAAAACATGAACTGGTCGAGGCCAGCGATATTTTTAATGATACGTCAAATCTAAGACCATTGCACAGCATCTTGATTCAGGGCGGAGGCCCAGGGTCATGTGTCTCTGTCTCCCCCGTGTGGTCATATCGGACAGCCCCACGTGGAATTACCCTTCACGAGAGTACGGAATCCGCCTATGGAGCGTGGTTTTAAATCTGCCTTCAGACCCTCCCTCTGTTCCAGCCCATATGACCACATCTCACCATATGGAGAGACCAATCATTATGTTGATATCGAGTTTTATTTTCTCCTCAGTTTCTAGCACTGCTGCTCGCTCAGACTATGTTCATATACAAACGTTCTACGATTACCAGTGACGCCAATGTATAAGAAAATGCCACCTTGTTTGAAATATATCCCCTATCACGTGAATATATTGAAATGTAGCCTGATTGAATCATGCCAGATACATAAAAAATCAGCTTTTATTATATTTAGAGATTTCGTGAGTTTTATAGGATTCATTTTCCTGGCAGGTAGTAAAATTGTAATTATCTGATGTGGTCTGACACAAAATTGTTTAAAAAATTGAATACATAATGGAGGACAATATATCTGAAGTGAAAGAGTTAATACTTTATCAATGTGGCATGTCAAGCTATTTGCTTAATTGTGCATGTCAGTTATCTACCATTCTTAATGCTGCAGGTTCCTATAATCTAAGCCTGAATTAACTGTCCCTCAGGTTATTTGGATCTGGTGTAACTTTACTGCTCCCTTTTATGTAATCTTAATCCTTTCATTTTCAGAAATTCACTGCTATCATATCAAAGTGGAAAACTAGTGTTTTATAAGTTATAAAAGTCTTCATTAAGGTAGCCTATGTACTGAATATTTGCACTGCGCAGTATTTTACTGCTTGTAGGACGCAGCAAATTTACACACCAAACCTCTATATTTCTGCTTTCTTCAGCAGGCTGTTCGGTACAGAACAAATGGCTTCACGGCTTCTGTTTTCTACATACAGCCTTCTCTAAGCAACACTTAAAGATCATGTCGGTGTTTAATGAATCACCTCAAATGTATGCATCGGATACTAACTCTGGCCAGACAAACTGAATTCTAATGCGATCACATGGTACGTGGTATGTCTAATTAAGGGTACTGTTAAGAAATTATTAGCCTTACATGCTGTTATAATGCTCACACAGAGCATTTACATTTTAGAATAATTCTGCTGCTTATAGCAATTTGTGACAAACTGCTGTGAACCATATAGCCCAGAACTACCAATATGTTATTATTCAGCTGACCATTAGAGTCAATGACACCTGATCATTCTGTATGAACAGAGTAAATAAAAGTGACAGAAATCATGTTGGTATAATCAATGGACTCAGTGTTTTTTTTTTAAGAAGCACTGCCGGCCACCAGCACCCTCCTCTAAAAGAGAAGCAGCCAGAATTTCATATCTGTGTATTTTCTGAGAGCATTTTTTTGAGGTCAGACACCTTCAGTCTTGAATTTTAATGCATGAGTCATCTTGAGACTGGTGTACTGATGGGCTGCATTAATTCAAGGTGGGCTACTCCCTATAGCCTATGTTTCATATGGGGAGGAGGGGAAGCTGATGTAATCAGCATAGAGAGAAGCCAAGGCCTTATGTTACAGCAATGTGTGTAAGTAGGAAAAACAATGTGAAACAAGAAATTTATTCAAATAAATTCATTATCCATCTCTAGCTGTTTATCCAGTATAGCATGGTTGGTGGTGGTGGGGATGGAGCCTGTTCCAGGCAGCAGAAGGTAAGGAAACACACTGGACATTATAGCAACCCATCACAGAGCACACACATGTAAAGTCTATGTGAAGCCTCCGTCCTGGAAGTGTGTGGAAAGGGCCACCAGTCTGTTATGTAATACCTGATTTTTAGAACAGTAAATAATCTTGGAGACTGTTTTTGTTTTTAAATCATCTCTAAAGATGACTAAATTCTATATATTATTTAATCTAAGCTAAATCTGATTTGCTCAAAAAAAACAAACAAAAAAAACAAGTTAACACACAATCTAATTATGCAATCAGATGGGAGTCAGGATGTAAACATTAAACTTGAGAGAACCAATAAAGCTGGGAAAGGTATGGAGACAGTCAGACTGGGATCCTCAGCGCAATGAAGTATTCTCAAATAACATAAGCTATATTCACTCTGCAACTGCAGGCTACACATGCCTAAATAAACTAGGCAGATTAAACTCTCCGTTTTGCATGGTACAACATTTTAAAAATCGACTAATTTTAAAAGTCAGTTTTTTCAAATTAAAATTACGACCCCACTAATCGCTGTAAACCTTCATGATGTTCACAATGCATTTTAAAGTTAACAAGTAATGGGTTATATTTTTAGTTTCACGTGGGATTTTGAAAGAGCACAAAACGCATTTTATATTTACGATCTCGTGGCGCAAAACAGCAAAAAGCAGCAGATGAGCCTCAACGCAGGACCACTGGGCACGCGCCAAAGCGAGCGAAACAGCCAAGGTTGCCTGGTAACCGATCTGGGCCGTGATCTGGCACGTGAACAAGGCGATGCCCGCTTGTACGCTAAGCTTTATAAAAAGCAACATCTCTTTTCTTAGTGAAAACACGCACACGATGATATATCAACATGTTTGAAATGCTAATGCAAAATACTGCCTGAAATCGTTGCATTTTTACTTAGAAATGTTTTAATTATCCGCTCTGCAATTTTGAGTAAAATACCTTAACCATTATCATATACACAACGATTTTTGGCCACGTGTGAAATTTGTGGCAGAACATCAGATACAGTTAACAGGTCACATAATACATGAATATAATTTAAACGTATTTAAAACAGGGTGCGCAGATAATCCATGTCAGGGAGGACACTGAGCCTGGACAGGATTTATAAACGACCATTTCAGTTAAAAAAGTATTTCCTTAAGCGCTGCATTCTTGCTGTGTGCTGACTGATCCGTTTCCTATAATCATGCATGTGTCACTAATGTTAATATAGAAGAGCTGGATGAGTCTTTTAATCAGGAAAACAAACCAGTCAACGCATAGGAAGAACCGAACAATTTAGCCAAGAAAAGGAGCCTTTCAGTTTTAAAGTAGTTTGTAAAACCAGAAGTAGCACAAAGTGCTGACATGGATTAACTGGTCATCCTATTTTAAACCATAAGGTATATCACACGGTCCCCTACTCCGGAGAAGAGGAATACAGAGAAATTTGATGATATTCACGGAATAAAAACATCATCCATAATGACTTACACAAAACAAAAGGAGGCCGTTTTAACGTTTACTAAGCGACGTACGGAGTCCACACTCTCGCACCCCAAAATCATAGCGAATCCGGACACGCGAATTTCTGGGGTGGCAACTACGCACCTCAGAGGTTCCTAACTGATTCAGTCACAATGATCCTTAAAAAAATAAAACCCCTTTCAGAAATAAGACTTCAGTATAAAAATATTTATTGCATATTTGAATACTTCAAATTCTTTCACTAGTACTTGAATACTTTCAATACCTCAAAGTTTCACAGATAAATGTTAAAATGATCTAGTGTTGTGAATCTTACTCCTTAACACTGACACAATAGCACCACCTTGTGTCACGTAAAGGCACTAACTGTCCAACGTCATGAAAATATTCTTAAAAGATTGCTTTCGGCTTCCTACACTCAGTTTCCAGTGAAACTTCCAACAATAATCACACAAACACAGCTTTGACATTAAGGTTTTATGAAATTGACTAATTTTACCCAAATTGTGTACCTATATTTTACATAAGAGCAATACAACTGCAATGCAGCACAAACAGTGCCTGAGGTAACATTTTTAGTGCTTCGAGAGGGAAGGTGATCAATGTAAATTGCATGACAGCACAGAATAAAGTAAAATTTTGGCTAAATTTGCAATACACTTAACCCCCCACCCCCCCAGCACTCAAAAGAAGGAAAAAAATATCAAAAGAATAACAGTCTAACGCAGATGGTACCCTACATGATGTCACTGAAGGCAAGAGAGACGTCGCTCCAGCTGGAGCTTCCTGGGGAGGTCACAGGGGACACGAGACTGCTCTCCAAAGACAGAACGGGAGACCCCTGGCTGCTGCCTGACGAGGGCACCGGGGACTCATGGCTACTTTCTGACGAGGGGACCAATGATACAAGGCTGTCATCATCCACAGAGAGGATCGGGGACACTCGGCTGCTCTCTGAAGAGGGGATCGGGGACACTCGGCTGCTCTCTGAAGAGGGGATCGGGGACACTCGGCTGCTCTCTGAAGAGGGGATCGGGGACACTCGGCTGCTCTCTGGAGAAGGGATCGGGGACACTCGACTGCTCTCTGAAGAGGGGATCGGGGACACTCGGCTGCTCTCTGGAGAGGCGTTCAGGGACACAATGCTGTCATCGTCCAGAGAGGAGTCTGGGGACATGATGATGCTGTTGCTCTCTGAGGATGAGATGTCACTGCTGCTGACTATTAGGAAGCTGCTGCTGGGGCTGGTCTCAGGGGTAATGGGTGCTGCTACATCCAGGGCTAAAAGAGAGGCAAGGACAGAAACAGACAGACGGACAGAGGGGGAGCCGGACAGAGGGGGAGCCGGACAGACAGACAGACAGACGAGGTTATTTTGGCCAATGTTCAATCTGTCCTTGCACAGGCTCTCTCAGAAATCTAAACTTGATGAACATTCCTTAGACTGTCAGTTTAATAATAACTGAAGCCCTTTCAATAAAAAAACCAAAGATTTCCTTGATACCCAATGTGTGCTTGATGTCAGACCAACACACACACAGGCACACAAACAAACAGTATGTCTAGTCAGGCTGGTCCCCGTCATCCTACACCGAACTTCACAGATGTCTATTCCAGATGGACAGTCAATGCTTCTCATGCAGAGCCCAGTCTCTTTTTTGAGGTGGGGGGGAGCTGTTGCTCACTATAATCTAAGGTAGTGCTACACAATATCACATCGCAATTACATGGCATATGCACAATAATCACCAGGGCTTTAGATGACAGGCGTTAACGTTTGTCCAGACGCCGGCTTTTCGGTACTATATAGACGTTTACTTACACCCACAATTTGGTAAGCAGATTAGTAGTACGCTTAAAATATTAATCAGATGCAAAAACTAGCACACACTATAAGTTTGTCGCATCCCTATTTTTATTAAATGTGTCGGACTTTAAACTGCATAAAGTACCTCCACACCAGAGACACCTTTTTTCTCCTATAATATCTTCTTTTAAAAGATGTTATGGCTGCTGATCTGTCCCTTTCTTCACCGCCACTTCAGTGCTTATGGGCTTCCATGATTTACCAAAATAGCAGCATGCAACGTGCTCTGCTAACAAAATTTAATAAGCATATACCGAATTAGGGCTGAACGATTTGGGGAAAATATCTGACGTTTCTGACAGATATTGCGATTACGATTTGTGATATAATTTTTTATATGTTAAGCTTCAGTTCAATATTACCACGAGATAATATTTTGATGGTAACCGGTCTATATTCTATAATCGAGAGTGCCACACACCCCCTTTCCAGCGACCTCATGACCCCCCATGCTCTCCCAATTTTTGTGCTAACTTCACAGGAAGAGTCACCAGAGACATGAATGTCGCTGTCGAGGTAAGTGATCTCTCAACGAGGTCGACATTCTCCCCGCAGACAGACAAAGTACTGATGGCTGCGCCTAAGAAGTCATTAAATGTCTGGATCTTAGTCTTTATCCAGGACATCAGCAATCCCAGACACTCAGACTCCTCGTTGAGTCTCTCGAGAGCCCCGATCAGAGCCTCCATTGACTCCGCTAACATCACAGCATCGTCGGCAAAGTCAAGATCAGTAAATCTTTCTTCACCAACGGACGCCCCAAAGCTGCTGGACCCCACGACCCTGCCCAACACCCAGTCCATACAAACACTGAACAAAGTAGGAGCACGAGCACATCCCTGGCGAACCCCAAAGTCAACTGGAAAGAACGCAGAGGTTCTCCCTCCACTCTGCACAGCACTCACAGTACCAGTGTACAGGCCGGCCAAGACGTCCAGCAACTTCAGGGGATCCCGCAAAGTCTCAGGAAGTCCCACAGGGCAACTCTCTCGACTGAGCCAAATGTTTTATAAAAATCGACAAAGGCTGCAAAGAACCTCTGTCGATATTCGCACTGGCAATACCAACACAACCTTCGGCAACCTTCAGGGTCTTATCACAGAAGGTCTCCCACATCACATTAGTCAGCAGTCGCACCAAAGTCTGCAAGTTCCTCACACAAACTGCGTGCAAACTTCCACACAACTTGATCTTGTAGTCTGGCCAAGTCCAACCTCATTCTCCTAGTGAGTGGTAGCGTACTGGATCCAAACAATCTTCAGAGTAGCAACAACAAGTCTCTGGTCAGAATTCACAAACTGGGCACTTCTGTAGACCCTGCAGTTCTGCAGGAGCCTCCAGCGTCTGCCCACAAGGATGTAATCAATCTCCTTCACCACACCACCAGTATTGGAGTACCAAGTCCAATGATCCGGTTCAGGGCGTTGGAACCAGGATCCAGCGATCCGCAGCCCCTGACCTTTCGCAAGGTCAAGGAACATGGAGCCACTTTCACCCTGGTCTCCAGACCCATGGGGACCAACACAATCCTCATAGCCAGCCCTGTCAGTGCCAGTGGTCACATTGAAGTCACTCATGACCAGAGCAGCATCACCTCATGCGCACCCTTCAACCACCGAGCGAAGTTGCGAGTAAAATGTGTCCCTCAACGAGACATCACTCACCGCGGTCGGAGCATGCACTGAGACAACAGACAAGACACCCAAGGAGTGCCTTAGCCTGAGTCTCATAATACGCTCGTTGAAAGGAGTAACATCAGACAGCATTGGGAGGTGCTGATCCGCTACAGCAAAAGCTACTCCCTTAGTTTGGCAGCCATCAGAGACCAGACCAAAAGATTTGGCCTCTCCCCAGTCTGTGTACCTCAGAGTGTGCCGCCACTGAAATGCGGAGTTTACGAAGCTCCTCCAACAGCTGACAAAGGTGGTCATCTTGCTGGTGGGATAAGACGTTCCATGCGCCTACCCCGGATGGACCACCTCAAACTGGGACCCAAATGCCACCATGCAGTAGGTGCCTCAGCACCACACCAGCCGTGATCCTTAACAAGTCTGACCCAACGGTTTCAACTCTTCCGGGGATGAGGCTCCCAAAGGCTTTCCCCCATCCCCTTCCTGTGGGCGGCTGCAGCAGAGCTACTCCCGTGGAGAGTAGAAGGGTATCGTTCCTGTTTATTCCAAGCTGTTGAGAGTTGTTTTACGGTGGCTGGAGTGCCAATCTCACCACCAACCCCCAAAATTTTCCCCTGCAAGTGGGAGGACTGCTTGCTGGGCCGGATGCAGTTTAACGTCATACTCCGACAAATATAAAACATATGAGAAAACATCATCAGTGTCACTTTTTACGATGGCCTATTAACAAAGATGGTGTGATACGCAGAAGTACGTTGTTGCTGGTGGTTAAAGGTTGCGGCAGAACTCCGACCAAGAAATAAATAAATTCACTTACAGCTTAGCAGCAGTATCAATATCAATTAGCTTTGGGTCATACGTTCTGTCTGGTGCATGTGCTAAATCACAGCCTTCGTGATTTGCTAATCGCACTGTATCAAATTGCGATTTTGATTTCAAATCGATAAAATTGTTCAGCCGTGTGCCGAATTTATACAGATTATTAACTTTCAGGCGTTACTATACACATCTCATTAATATTTGAGGCGTATTACTAATCTGCTAGCCAAATTGTGGGTGTAATTAAACGTCCATATAGTACCGAAAAACTGGTGTCCAGACAAATGTTTAAACCCATCATCTAAAGCCCTGGTTATTGTTGCGCATGCAGCCTATAATCGCAATTATATTACAATGTGATATTGTGCAGGCCTAAACTATGGGCATTCGCGGGGCTGACTGGAGAAGTTCCGCCCCTCTTGGCACGAGCACAGGAGAAGAGCGGTGAGTCGGCACACACCTCTCACCTTCCCGCTGCCTGAGGAGGGCCTGCCGGTGCTGCCTCACTTCGGTGCCCAGCTTCTCCACCACGCGGTCAATGCAGTTGTCCAGCACCAGGGAGCGGGACTGCGACGCAATGGCCTGTCGGCAGATGGGACACTCGTTCCGGCGCTTTCGCCACTGTCCGATGCAGTGGAGGCAGAAGCTATGGGCGCAGTTCAGCGTTACAGCCTGTTCCAAAAAAACAGTCACGTCACAAGGCCTTCTTCCAAGTCAGCGACATGCCCTGGTTAGTTTTTCATGACTGGCCATTTACAGACATAGGTCAGATTACAGATTCTGCAAAAAAGCACAACAGCCGGACCCTCCAGGGCGTTAGTATGATCAGTAAGTTTGATATGTCTGCTGATTGGATTCCCAGGAGGGCTGCTGCTGGTAGAGACCCTCATGGAAGTAAGGAGTTACCTCAATAAAAAGCTCAGAGCAGATGATACACTGAAGCTCGCTTTCCAGAACCTCCGTCATCTGAGATACCACTTCTTGTTTCTGAGCCCAGGCTTTTTCCTTCTCCTGCAAGACAAGGGTGTCAGGGTCGTACCATTTATGACATCTCATGGTGAACGCTGCGTACCGGGTATTCGCTGCTGTACCTCAAGCTCCTTATCTTTAGCCTGAAGGATCTCTTCAAAGCCCTGACGAGAAAGCTTCAGCTCCTCAATGAGCTTCCTGTGCTGTTAAAGTGACAAAGGGGTTTACATCAGCCTTGTCCTACCAAAGCCCCAGAGCCCTTTCCCTACCTCAAGCAGCGTGTTCTCCAATTGCTTCTTCAGACTCTCCCGTTGTTGTTTTTTCTCCATCTTAGAGAGAGACCAACACGTCATGAAGTAATGTATGCACAATTCAACAGACGTAAGAATCTGACAGTTAAACAATTATCAGGAAATATATTTAATTGCACAGATAAGACAAGACTGTCAATCAGGGGGTACTGTGTGTCTTAATTTTCATTGCCTGTGATCAGAAGGTCGCTGGTTTGCGCCTCAATAATCACATCTTGAAGCTTCAAACTCAACTGTATATACAGCTCTTCAAAAAATTGAGACCACTATTTAAATCTTGGTTTAATCCTGGCACCACTGGCAGAATGCTACACTGCGAAGCAGGCTGCATCTAGGCTCAAAGTTTCTAAGATGACAGTACACAAGAACAAGGTGAAGCAGGAGACACTGGCAATGACCAAAAACCAGCCAGGTAGAGGGCAGAAATAACTTTCTAATGCCAGGGATGACGGTCAACTTATTGTACAGTGCCTCATAAATCTGAGGATAACATCAAGTGACCTTCAAAAAGAATGGGAAACATTAAGTGGTGTGAAGTGCACTGCTATGACAATTCATAACAGGCTCTTAGAAGCGGGATTGAAGACCCCTAAAGTTAGGAAGTAGCCCTTCATCAATGAGAAGCAGGGTAGAGCCAGGCTAGAGTTTCAAAAAAAAAAAAAAAAAAAAGGATACTTTACACGGAAGCATACCCATAATTGAGAAATGAGTGAAACTGAAAATTATGCCATAGTCTCTGATATTATTGTGCTAAATATAGGTACTTTCTATACTTTCTATATCAAACCCCAAAGTAACCACTCCGATGCACCGAGACATTTCTGTTTAAATGCTGCTGGACCATGCCGGTTTATTTTTGCATAATTCACACTGCAAATAATAATAAATAATAATAATAGATTTTATTTGTAACGCACTTTACATTTAAAATAAATCTCAAAGTGCCACAAAATAAGTCAGCTAAATACTGTACTGTGCATTAGCCTAAGGTAGCCAAAGAAAATGATCATTATGTTGATGTAAATCTATGCTATTATGTCAAAGTGTGTTAGCTTAGCCATTTCTAAACGTCCGCTAAAGTCACCCCAGGATTTACCTCAACCATCCAATACACCCATGTATTTTTTGACTTGGACACAAGCACACCTCGCATAGCTAATTAACATCTCATTAATTTGTAAAATTATGTTAATTATTTAAGGGAGCTGATGGTGAAATTTAATAAATACGTGGAATGGCTGAGGTGCCCCTGAAGAGAGGTTTGGGAACTGAAGTGGTCTTCATCCAGTCAGTAACTGTCTGGAGAACAGAAGAAATTCTTACTAGTTTTTTTATTGTGTTACTCTGAATTTGCATATGTTCTAATGTTAAATTGTGCTTTTTTTCTGAACAAATGTGCACTTACTACCCAGATAAACAGCTTTAAACACTTTGTTTGCCTGCTTAAGACTCTGGCACATTTCTGTAAATGCTCCCCTGTATGAGAAAATGCCAGACCACCAACTGTTCAAGCCCTCATCAGCTGCCTTGATTTCCCTGCCTTCCCTACATTCAATTCGACTTTCCCCTAGGCATCACTATCTCCAATACACGTTAATAACAGACTGAAAATGAAAGTCCTGTAATACAGGCTGTCCGCGGGTTATGAACAACCAACTTACAGACAACTTGTACTTAGGAACGGACAGCCATAAAGGATATTCTACTAAAAATTAGGCTTAAATACAATGATTTGTAATAGCGAATACACACACAACTTCGTGACGCTCATGAAAACATCACGCAACTTCAACAAGTCGTTGGCTTGAAATACAGTACAGTTTTATTATGATTATTAAACAGATCATTTTGAAGATCAATTTAAGAGCTAATTTAGACTCTTAATATTAGTCTTACGGCCCACTAATCTGGCACCCTGTTGTCAGTGAGGGATATATGGAATCTCAAATCTTAGGCAAAGAAAATGTTTAAATGATCTTCATGTTGGTGTAAAACTATGATGTCTGTCAGTGTGTTAGCTTTCAAATTTCAATACCTCTCATAACATCAGACCAGTATTTTCAGCAACCATGCCACACACCCATGTATTTCTTGAATTGATCCCATTGCACATTTTGCATGGCTAATCAATACCTCACTGGTTTTTCAGAACTAATTTAACTAGTTAATTGAACTGGTGGTGAAATTTAGCAAACGCAGGCAATGGTTGAGGTGCCCCTCTGAAGAGGTTTGGGAACCAAGGCGGTGTCTTCAAGCCATTCAGCAAGATATCAGGAACTATTTGGAGGACAGAATAAATTCTTGCTAGTTCTTATTGTTACTCTTCATTTTCATAAGGTCTAATATTAAATTGTGTTTTATTCGGAGCAAATATATACTTTCCATGCAGATAAATAGCTTTAAACGTTTTCTTTGACTGCCTAAGACTTTTGCACAATACTGCACACCCACCACTGCTCCCATGGCATGACAGACCCGCTTTACTGCTCACCTCCAAGCGCTTCTCCTCCTCATAGAAGGACTTCTCCAGCATATTCACCCTATGCACCTGTGCCTCCTGCAGGCTTTTCAGTTGCAAGTGCAGTGCACTTTGTTGCTGCAGCAGCTTGCTCATCTCCTCCTGCTGGCCGGGGCTCTCTGCCTGCAGGCCGGCCACCTGTCGCTCCAGCTCCAGCAGTTGGTTCCTCATCATCTGCATGTTCTGGTTGTGCTGCTGTACACAGGCTATCCCCGAGCTGCCATCAGAGAGTACACGCGACATCCCGGTACTGGGGGACACCTGGCTGGGCCCTGCGGCCTCCAGGGACCTGGGACTTGCTGGCAGGGCACTCCCAATGGGGCACGGCCTGCCCAGGAGTTTATCTGAGGTGGAGCACCGATAAAGCTTGGATTGTGACTCAGCGGGAGCAGAGGTCTCCTCCACAGCAAACTTTCGTTTAGCCTTCCTAGATTTGGAGCCCGCACTGTGCTCCTTGGCCAATAAGGACGACAAGAAGGGATCAAGAGTCCGCAAGAAGTCCCGCACCAGCACGTACTCAAACTCCACCCGCATGCCGTCGACAGGAACGCCCAGCTTGATTGAGTCCCCAACACTGAGGATCACTGCCTTCTCAGCTGGGATCCGTTCCTCATTCACCCACACACCATTGAGGCTCTGAGATAAAATTAAAGAAGTAATCAGGTCATGGTTATTCATATAGCATTCACAGCATCATACAAAGCTAGCATAGCCTTACCGTTTTATCAGTCACTGTCCACTGGCCATCATCGTTCTGCTTAAACAGACAGTGCTTCCTGGATATCATTAAAGGACATGTCGAGGAATATATCTGGTAGGTGACATTCAGACCACGTCCAAGTGTAACCTGTAAACACAACAGATGCCTGGAAGTAAACCTGAGTGTGTCCAATCAGTCTACAACTCTCATGGTCCAGTCTAGACTTTAACAATGGGACAGATTCATTCATTCATTCATTCATTCATTCTTAGGCCCACAATGAATTTTCCTCCCATGCTGGGCAAGCAAAGGTTCAGGAGCAAATTGCAATTTTATTACAAGCATCATGAAGAACTTTGTTCAGACAATTTTGTGTGAATTTCAGTCTATAGTTGACATTATTAAAGATCCTCCTGTGACACTTGCCACAGCCACTCATCTGAGTTTGATAACCGCTCACACAATGTCCTGCAGTTGATGCAGGAAACACAGCTCATGGAGTTGGGTACACACTGAAAGGAATTCCTGTCCAATAAAGAGTGCTCATGCGCACTGGCACCTTGGTACTGGAGTCCAGGGGAATATGTAAATTCCAGCCACCACAATCCAAGGGGTGGGAAATTAACCAATGACTCAAGAGGTACCAGGCAGAATAGAATATTTCTTCAGAACTAAAATAAATTGTGACCCAAACCTAAAGAATTTGTACAGTTTTGTACATGAAGAATCTTTGCAATAGTTGTGACCAAGGATTTCCATAAGCCAAATGAACACTTCACTGCTCATTGTTTAATGTATAAGTCTCACCTATTATAGCAACAAAACCTGCTGAAAACAAACAAACACACACACACACACACACACACACACACACACACCCCAACACCAACCAGAGACAATCTATCTGCACACAGAACGAGGTAGAGCAGCATAGTCTTATGGCAAAGACATGTGGTACGTCAGGATAACAGAAAAACGGCAACACCAGTCCTGAATCCACACTAAAGCAGATATCCAGCCACCGCGTCCCACATCAGTCTAAATGTTATGTGTACTAAGATGATAAAATGGGCTTATGCGTCTGCCAAGAGTGGTGACTGCTAACCGGCTGCCCAACTTGGAAGAACAGACAATTAAAGTATCCTTCACTAAATAAAGTTATTCCAGTTAGCGGCTACCTCTGTATCTTCCGGCAGCCGGAGCCACTCGGCATTCTTTCCGACTCGCTTCAAACACCATATTTCTTTGTCTGTGGAGCTACTGCTCTCGGCAGCTGGGGGCTTCGATACACCTTCCTGCTCCATTACGTCCACATCATGTTCAAAACACTGGCAGAAAAAGACCAAACTCAGCGACATCCATTTTCTACTTCTAGTCCGTTACAGCGACACAACGGAAATGACGCAAAGGAAAAGCGTCACCACTTCCCGTGATGCATCGCTCTTGAACGTTATACTCATAGGTTATACTCACATAATTTGATGAATTTAATTCATTGATAATCGTAACGCATAATCAAAGGGAACGTTATGTGAAAGTCTTCTAAATGGAGGCAGAGAACGTTGTGTAACGTTAATGGAATGTTATTTCTAAGTTTTGCATTTTAAGAAAGGATCTGCCGATGTCAGCCTGAACATCCCGCAATTAATGTTGACAATTGTTTTATAGTAGAACATTTTATGAAAATGCTACATATATACCTGTATATTGCAAATACACCGTCCAGTCTCGAGCACATTATCATTGAAGTAAAAAGCGTCAGTGTTACCCGCTGTTCTACCATGTCCTTTGTTTGAAGTTATTTTGCTGGTAGCAGTTGTAATAAGTAGTAGGCCAGTGTTCTGGGAACATCTGGAAAACTGGCCAATTTGAACGTTTCTATTTCGTTCCTAGAACGAAAAATAGCGCGGGTAGTCGCATCAAGCATTTATGTTTTTATACAATTTTATTGAAAAAGAGCTCAGATATTTATAACACTTTCAATTACACACAAGCGCTACTCCCGAAGCACACATCTGCGAGTCCTTCAAAATGAATAACATCTTTTTCAAATGTAACCGGGCAGTATACATGCCTGGGGCCTGTATCACGAAGCCAGATTTCTTACTTAAATGTATAACTTGTACGATTTAAGATACCCAAGTTTAAATGGACTTTATCTTCGTTTACTTCTGACAAGTTACAAATAAAAAGAATAGCAAAATGTTCTCAATAATAGCAATCAGAGGTGGCTCAACAGAGACAAAAACATCGCCATTTGAACTTTGCCCAACCAAGTACAAATGAACAAAAACAAATGCACAAAATAGGTGAACACAAAAATTCTCAGTGATGTCAACATCATTAATAGTTGATCATTTGTTGCTTTCAAGATTCAGCATATTTTAGTACACCAGGCAAATTTTATGATTGATCTCATTGTCACATGATTGGCATTGGTGGAGTTTTTTTGTTCAGCCTAGTTTTTTTACTCACCAACTTAAATATTTATATTTGCCCTAAACTAGGGGCTCAACAGAGGCACCATAGCAGATTCAGAGGTGTAAAACTTTCACCGAAATTGGAAATGAACTAACTACCACTAGATGGCAATATTATAAAAGACATTTCTGTTTTCAGAAATCTGCGGAGTGTAGATGTAAAATCTGAAAGTATAATGGGTTCAGGTTATTTTTATCTCTACAATAATAATTACAACAACAAAACTCTCTGAGTTACCTTAACAATAAAATTGTAATGTGAATTAACAGCCAATTTGGAAAGACTGTCCCAGCGTGTCCAGGGAAAATATTCACAATCCCCAGGTACCAATAAAGTTTAATAAGAGCGTTATTTTTAATAGCTAATCTACCTTCTGGATCAGAATTCTCATTAGTGGCTGTGTGGTCTTTATCCTACCACAATGATTTAGGCCTACTTATACACTTTCAAAGCCAGCCTGATTTGTTGACTACTGATTTGTTGATCCTTGTACAGCATTTTGGTGCAGTGTTACAACTGCTGTAAATGTGCTATAGAAATAAACTTGACTTGACTTTGATCAGAGTACACTGTGAGAAATTGTAATTGAGGTACAGATAAAGAATCTACAAGAACTAATTATAAATTATGTTTGTTGTGTATGTGTTTGTAAAATTCACCATTTATAAATAGTATGATCCAAAACTGATTTAATATCAGTGTGGGGGCTAAATTTTATACTCATAAATTGAACTACTGAATTTTAAATTTTGTTTTCATTGGGTCTTCGTTAATGGTCATATTTAAAATTACATGTGTTGTTATGCAGTTGTTTCTATAATATGGGCAGAAAGTGATTCTTATGATCAATACAAACAAGGTCAACTACAGGGACTCATTTGGCTGTTATTTGTTACCATTGCAGGTTTTCTCTCGAATAACTCTCATTACTCTACCCTCCAAAAAATAAAAACATTAATCTGCAACTAAAAAACAGGAGGTGTGACACTGAGCTTTACATGCACAAGTAACTTAATTAGTAACAGAGTTAAGCCTACTAGTACAAATCATGAACATAGTAACCACATGAAATGCATAAACCATTATGATGAACAAACATGGAACCAGTATGTACCATTTAGTTTCTGATTAATTTATACATTAAGTACTTCATACATTAAGAGTGTGTTACTACATTATTTGTGCCCCCTCAAGTAAAGTGTCACCGAAGATTAAAGTAAGAAGTGTAGGGGAAATGCACTATATGGACAAGAGTATTGGGACACTTGGAACGTTTACGACATCCCATTTTAAATCCATTGGGATCAATATGGAGTTGGTCCCCCCTTTTGCCACTCTTCTGGAATGGCTTTCCACAAGTTTTTGGAGTGTCTGTGGGAATTTTTACCCATTAATCCAGAAGGATATTTGTGAGGTCAGACATTTGTGCTGGACGTGAAGGTTTGGCTCACAATCTGTGTCCTAAATCATCCCAAAGGTGTTTGATGGGGTTGAGGTCAGGACTTTGTGCAGGCCAGTCAAGTTCCTCTACACCAGACTCGCTCATCCATGTCCTTATGGACCTTGCCATTTGTGCACTGGTGCGCAGTCATGTTGGAACAGGAAGGGGAAGGGGCCATCCCCAAACTCCCAAAAGTTGGGACCATGAAATTGTCCAAAATGGCTTTGAATGCTGAAGCATTAAGAATTCCCTTCACTAGAACTATAGGGCCAAGCCCAACGCCTGAAGAAAAACCCCATACAATTATCACTCCACTAAACTTTGCAGTTGACACAATGCAGTCAGGCAGGTAACGTTCTCCGGGCATCTGCCAAACCCAGACTCATCCATCAGACTGCCAGACAGAGAAGCCTGATTCTTCACTCCATAGAACATGTTTCCATAGCTCCAGAGTCCAGTGGCAGCATGTTTTGCACCACTCCATCTGACACTTGGCATTGCGCTTGACGATATGAGGCTTGCATGCAGCTGCTCGGCCATGGAAGCCCACTCCATGAAGCTCTTGATGCACTGTTTATGTGCTGGGGTTAATGCCAAAGGAAATTTGGAGCTCGGCAGTTATTGAGTCAACAGAATATTGACAACTGTCCAGAGTGAAACCATTTTTCTCTCTGCATCATTTCGAGATCTTAATCCATGTGTTTATTACGACTCGTCTGGATTACTGCAATGCACTTTATGTTGGGCGTAACCAGAGGTCACTTGACCGACTACAGCTGGTGCGAAATGCTGCTGCTCAGCTTTTAACGGGTACAAAACAAACACAAGCACATTACTCCAGTGCTAGCATCACAGTTCGTATTCGGATTGATTTAAAAATACTTTTACTTTTTTAAAATGACTTTATGGCCTTGCCCCACAGGATCTGTCCGAACTGCTTCAGCCGTACGCTCTTCCACGTGTTCTCAGGTCGGCAAATCATTCGTTGTTAGTTGTCCATAAGACAAAGAGGAAGCTTAGGGGTGATCGTGCTTTTTCAGTCATTGCACCAAAATTATGGAATGAATTGCCCTTGAACATCAGGTAGGCCACCTCCCTTCCTGTTTTTAAGACCTTTAAAACATTATATACCAATTACCACAACATTAATTTAGATAATAATTTTGATAGAAGAACAAACATTCTGCTTTTCTATCCAGAAAAATCTGCCATTGCTTCATATATAACCTTAGCCACTATGTTTAATATATTATTATATTATTATACACAGTGTGCGAAAAACCCGTCAATAATCGGGGGGGGGGGGGTTCCCCATGTCCCTATTGTTGCGCAATACCGATCTTGAGACCCCCTTAAAATGTTGCTTTTGAGGCTTTCAGGGGGTCTCATGGGTTAATAACAATTGTTCATTTTAAAAACGACGTTTGGGAAAAACTGAAGCTAAAATGATTTCCTACCGTGCCGTTTACGGCTTGTTTTTGAGTGGTTTTCGGAAGAAATCACTACCAGTTTGTGGGAAATAGGCTGCAAGGATCGCAAGACAGGGGACTGATACATTTCTGTATTAAGTTGGAAACCAGTTTAACTACACATTTTTAAGCCTATAGTTCAGCCTTTCCCCCTTTCCTTTCCTTTCCTTTTCTCTTCCGCACAGTGACTGTCCCCAGATTATTCAATGCCACTGACACCGGCCCAGAAGCTGCCCGCCGCTGGGGTTGCCATGAATATCCAGATGCATGTATCATGTTCTCTTCATCTATAACATGTCGGTACATTTACTAAGATTCTGTGGCTAAATTAGGCCTATTTACTGAATAAGTTGTGTGGTATACAGTAAATCTGTTCAGTTGTTCAAGTTATCAATGAAAACAATTTTTAAAAATGTTGAACTTTTAATGTTTGGTAAATGTCATCAGGATACAGGATGTCAGATACATATTCATTGCCCTGTTTCTCATAATCTGGAATGGGAGTAGTTATGCATTACAGTTAACATCCCTCTCCATTAATGCACGATGTCTGTGTCATCTGAAGAAGGGTGAAGGGGCGAAAACAAAATAGCTAACTCTTAGCTCACACCAATATTCAGTCCTGTTTTCCAGTAAGTAACGGAAGTGGTTTACCAAAAACTACAGCATGCTTCAGAGTTGGAAATAAATTAACAAAATGATATAATGAGCAACAGCAAGCCTGTTCTTATTAAATTTGATCTGCAATCAATTTTCTGTCCTAAAGTGATTGTAGCACTCTCTGTAAGGTCAGTATTTTCACAACAAACCTGTTTCACAAGTTTTTGGCACGCAGTAAAATTCTACAGAGGCATTCTGGAAACATCTGATGGACCTTGGATGTACCACTGGAAAAATTAGGATTTTGATCCAAATTATTCATTTGAATCAGATATCTTGGCTAAACAAACAATTTTGAATAACAATTAGTAAATAGCAGCATAGATACATAATTAATTTGAACCCTTAGCTTTTTACCTATCAATCTTCCAAC